GCCCCTCTGCCTGGTTTGTTTCCCCAGACCCTTTCACGACGGCTCTGTCTCTCACAGACTCTCTCTGTCACCTTGTCTCTGTCCTGTCCCCTCTGCCTGGTACCCTCAGCTGTGCCCCAGCTGAGCAGAGCTGTTCTTTCCTGCCATCATCCAACCTCGGTCTCTGGACTCTGGGCCCAAGTCTCCCTTCCAAGAACCAAGGCACAACTCCATCAGGGCAGAGGCCGGCACTGGCAGTGCCTTGTGTTGGTCACCCACAGGGGAACGAGAGCCAGGCAGACAGCACATGGAGATGGCAAAGTTTAGTCACATCTAAACTTTGGGTCAGGGGCGTATTTGGAGGCAAGATGGAGACAACTGGGGCAAATTCTGCATGAGGGTCCGTGTCTTTCCTCAAAGCAAAGGAGAGTGTTCTATTCAACAGTGTAGAATTCTGTTCCTTGGAGGAATCATGCGTCAGAGGGCTCCCCCAGCTGGCCACACCAGTATCTGCATGTGGAGTCCAAGAGGGGGCGGTCCAAAGCTAAGAGGTGGGAAGAGCTGTCCCCTCCCCCGGCCTTCAGCACACAACTCTCAGGCCCCATTGGAGGGCTCCTTTGGTCTAGATGTTGGAGCTCCAGAACAGTGGGGTCACGCAGTGGACGAAGAGCTTGGAAAACTCAAGAGACCTCGCTCTCTTCAAGTAAATGAAAAACAGACCCCCCCGCTAGTCCGTGAGGTCAACTTTCTGAGAATTAAGAGACGTGTTTACCTCAAGACGCTGGGCTGCCATCTTCCAGAAAACTGCAAAACGACACCTACAATCACCATGAGTTTGTGGCGCCATGAACAACCTGAACAGCTATAGCCAGTGGCCCCGCTAAACACAGATGACCGAAAAGGGAAGAGGTCCGTGCTCTGTGTTCTTAAGGCTTCCAGCTTTCAGGAGATAGATCGGAAGCTGGAGGATCAGATTTGGTCTGCAAACAGGAAGAACTTCCTGTCCATCCGAGTTGCCCAAAAACCTGCATGTGCTGTTGGGCTCTTGGGAGGTGGCCAGTTCTCCATCACTGGTGGCATTTCAGCACGAGCTGAAAAGCCACTTTAGTAGCGAGTGGAGAGTGTTGGATTTAACCTTCTGAAATTCCTCGCCCTATAAGAACTGTGCCAGTGGCTTCTGCCAGTCTGGTGAGCCGATGACAGGACCCCGGAGCCTGCCATCCCTGGGCTCCTAAGTCCGTCTCGAGGTGTCGGGTCAACCTCTGGCCGTGCAGCTGGGTGAGACGCGGTAGCTGGGCCTTTCTGCAAAGAGGTTAGGTTTTAATCAAGCCCCTGTTAGCATCTGATTTAATTTCACATGGGGGTTGTGCTTTGATGGAACTTGTCAGCTCCCAGCTGGGTTTGGAAAGCAGCGTGGCCAAGGAAACACCACGCGCACGTCCACAGGGCAAGCCGCTTCTGTAGTTGGTTTTGCAGGAGACGGTGCGCGGTGAGGGTTTTGCTGGAGCAGAAGGTGCCCAGGCCACAGTCCCCAATGGGTGGCCGAGGAGGTGGTCATCAAACAGCACAGACTCCGCTCATCTCCCCAAAGCAGGTGCCGTGACAGCCAGCGGGCCTGCGGAAATGCCTCTTCAAAGCTGGCTTGTTTCTGCCCAGCAACACGAGCTGGGCCCATCCATCAGCTGTCCTGCCGCCTGCCAGGGAGGGTCTCTGCTGGGCTTGCCCTGTCAGCTGGATTGGAAGCGTCGAATGCAGGCCAACAGGGCTGGGGTTTGGGGGGAGGCCCTCGGAGGAGCTGTCTGTGCCACAGTGATGGATGACGCCAACAGGGACGGCATTCCAGAGATTTTTATTCCGTTCCGCACATCTGGCAAGCTCCTTAACTAGAGCAGCTGCAGAGCCCATCTCACAAACTCGGAGCTCTTTCCGAGAGACCCCTGCTACAGACCACAGTAATCCCGGACCGGGGACTTGGAGCATGGGCTAAAAGAGATTTCTCAATGTGTGTTACTTCCTGGAAGCGAAAACCCGTGGAGTTTCACGAAACACAAACCCACAAGGGGCTCCTGGGCAGGTGGAAAAGCAAACCAGACTTGGAGTTGGGTTGACCTGGGCCCTGATAACACCACTTCCTTTTTTTTTTTTTTTTTTTTTTTTTTTTTTTTTCTCTTCTGTGTAATAGGAATAGTAATAACTATGCCATGGGGTTTCTCTCGGTTTAAATAAGATTATATGCAACCACACTTATTTAGTAGAGTGTCCAGTATACAGAAAATAGAGAGTAACCAATCACTGGGATGATTTGAGTTAGCTCAGGATACTTTCATCATCCTTCCTGATAAATTCTAGAAGCAGACTCTGATAAATAGAGAAATGCACGAAGATTTCTTTTTACACCTAATACAAAATGCTTCTCACAGCTGTTCCCACCTTCGCCCAAAGCCTTCTCCTTTTCTACAGCCTAGAGAAAGCCTCCGATAATCTGTATCTGAACCTGGAGTGTTTTCCAATAATCCAGCAATGGAACCCAATTTCATGTCAGGCTGTAATCCCTCTGTATGCAGGAAAGCACTTGGACAAGTTTCTAGACTCCTACAGAGCTCATCGGGCATTTTCTTCACCAAATACGTCGGACCCAAATCTCACGTAGTTTCTCTCCCACACTTCCCGTTTACTCGGTTCCACACAGATACCAACTTTGCTAGCCGAGCTGTGTGCCTGCCGTGTGCAGGCCGGTCGGAATGAAGGGAGGCCCAAACACAGAGGGAAGAACTCACTTGTCAAATACATACATTAACTGCATAGAGGGCTCTGTGCTGGGCACTGAGGGGTAGAAAGAGGAACAGACACGGTCCTTGCTTTTAAGACACCAACACTCTAGTTAGGGGACACAATCAGACAGACAAATAAGGACCATAAGAGAGAGGTGCCATCTGAGATGCAGCCAGGAAACCTAAGACCCTACAGCCTTCTAGGCCACTGGGGAATGCTAAAGTAGTACCTAAATTTCTTATCCCACTAGCAACCCAGTTTATCAATCAAGGCCCATGTATTTATTTGTTATTACTGCATACTATGCTATCCTAAACTGAGTGGCTTCAACCATTAGTCACGTATTAATTCTTATTCTTAATAGAATAATGTCTTAATTCTTTGGGTTGGCAATTTAGACTGGGTTCAGCTGGACCGTTCTTCTGGTCTGGACCAGGCTCAGCTGATGTTGGCTGGGCCTCCTTACCTGTCTGCAGTCGGCTGGTAGATTGGCTGGGCTCTCATATGTCTGAGGCCTTTGAGGCCTTGACCGGAACTGCTGGGCCTCCTGTTGCCCCACAGGTTCTCTTATCCTCCATAGAATAGGCCCGACCCGTTCACATGGCAGTCACAAGGGTGTGAGAGACAGAGAGAGAGAGACAGAGAGAGAGAGAGAGAGAGGAAGTGCAAAAGACTTCTTGAGACCCAGCTTGGAGCTAGCACACTGTCCTTCTACCACATGCTATTGGTCAAAGCAAGTCCCAAGGCCAGTCCAGACCCAAGGGGCAGGCAAACCAGTCCATCTTTTGGTAGGAGGAGCTGCAAAGTCACACTGCAAAAGATGTGGCTACCGGGAAGGGTGGAGACTTGGGGCCATTTTTCCCCATCCAATTGGCTCATACAATGCTAAAATGCCAATGTGGACCTTGAAGACTTGACCTAGGCCTGGCCACATCCAGCTCCCCTGACTTTCCACTACCCTTTCATTTCCTTTCTTGGCTGGATTTCTTCCCCCACCCACCCTATTCTGGAAGTTCCTGTGAGTGGAGGCCACTCTTCATTATTCCCAAAGCCTCCTCGAACCCGGCATAATAGTAGGCCCATCGTAGGGGCACAACACACTTTTCTTTAACGTTTTTTTGGTTTTGTTTTGTTTTTTTCTGAGAGACAGAGACAGAGCGTTAGTTGGGGAGGGGCAGAGAGAGAGGGATACACAGAATCGGAAGCAGGCTCCAGACTCTGAGCTGTCAGCACAGAGCCCGACGCGGGGCTCGAACCCACGAACTGTGAGATCGTGACCTGAGCCGAAGTCAGACGCCCAACTGACTGAGCCACCCAGGCGTCCCAACACACTTTTCTTATGTAGACAGTGGGATTAAGTGCCAACAGAATAGAAAAGACAACATCAACTTTAAGTTTGGAGGTGGAGAAACCCTGCCGGGTGATGCTTCTATAAAGCATTCTTGAAAGCGTGTTGCAGCCGCCCCAAATGTAAAGGATCTCGGTGCCTTTCCTTGCACAGTACTTCTATTGGATGGCTTCTGGTGACCTGGGGCCACGGGACCTCTACTGCTTCTATCCACCTCAACCAAGGGCCCCAGGCCCTGGGGAGTAGCAGGGACTTTTTGCCTCGTTTCGCAGAAGTATGACTCCAAGCCTACGTGTTTTATCCCCTCTTTAACTTCACCGAGGGATGAGCACAGCTTGTTAACAAAGCCAGATTCCAGTAAAAATTCTCGAGCAGACATTACAGCCATCCCCCACCACCTAGAAAAGTCACACGGTTCCATTTACGTAAAAAGCTTCCCCCTTTCCAAATATCTGCAAAGGGAATGACTCTTAATGGCGTAGCTGAGATTAGCCCGTCCGACCTTCAACCTGTCGGAGGGCTGGGAGAAATCACAGAAGCGCTCCGAAGGCACTTATCGATAAACGCCCGTTTGGAAAAACAAAAACAAATTCTCTAAGGAAAAAAAAAATAAATAAATGATGTAATCATCTCATTACCCACCCATTGTCTCTCCCAAATGTCAGTTTGAAATCTTTCATGTCAAACTCAGAAAAACGGTTTTCTCCCCCTCACTTTCTCACTCTCTTTCTCTGCTTTATCATGCTAGATGGAAAGAAACTTTATTTGCTCTGGGAAGACAATGGCCTTATCTTCAACCTAGATCCTCATCCCTAGAAAGGTGGCCTCCTCTGGGAGCATTTTCAGAGCGGGGAAAAGCAGCTCGGGAGAAATAATGAGCAAGCAAGGGGAGGCTTGACTTGACACTGTGATAAATGAGGTGAAACTTTGGCAAGGAACCAGAGTTGGCGTATTCAAAAAGGAAATAAAAAGATAGTTCCATTTTAATGGGAAATATAAAACAGCCATTGTGCGAAAGTCGATTTTTCAAAAGCCAAAGAGATAAAGACTATAAGGGAACGACGGAGAGAGACTGAGATAATGTGGTTGATAATCAGCCTTAGGTAAAGTGCCATGCTCCAGCCATCAGCTGGCTCTGCGGGAGTGCCTTTTCAAGTCGCCCATCTGCATTTGCTCCCGCCTCATTATCATACGCATCTCTGGACAGCTTCCTTAGAGCTTCAACCTGCTGCCTTGCCATATTCCTGCCAGCTGGAGAGAGCAGAGTCAACCCAACTTTCTTCAAATCCCAAGCTTCTCTCCAGGAGCCACAGGAGCTACCAGCATCTTCCAAGGCCCCAGACAGCAAGGAGCCTGAGTCCAGCCTTATACACGCTTGCTCTTCCCAACGGACCGGCCCGGTGTGAGGTTTATACCCGTGGACAATGCCATATACAATCCTGTCTTTCACTGGGCAAAATCCATGAATCTTCTCAAGGTTGTCCTTGGGTGAATCCTAATTAGCAGGCTGGGTATGCAATGGGGATGGTTGGATCCCTTTCCCAAGGGGAAGGGGGAATTAGCTGAGGCCGTGTAAGAGGTCAATTGAAGCAGCTAAGCCAGTGCAGTTTAGAGGTTCTATGGGGATAAACCGCCTTGGTTCACATCCTGCCATTTATCTAACTATGTGACTCGGGCCAGTAACCACCTCTTCCAGCCTCAGGTTTCTCAACTGAAAGTCGAGGGATAGTAATATGCCTCCCAGGTTATTATGAGGATGAAGTGAAATGGTTCACATAAAATGCTTATTACAGGGCCTAATCCTAGTAGAGGCTCAACAAATACTAGCTGTTAGGATGATTCTGTAGGTACAAGTTGGGAGTGGTTTGATGCCGTGACCGAGAGCAAAGTGACGAGTTTCTTTGACTTCATAGGTGAAGGTGACCGACTAATAAAGGCCCAGGAAGAAAGCTTATTCACAGAAGTGCACAGCAAGGCACTCAGGTGCCACTGGCTCTGACCCTGGGCACGTCTTTTACAGGACCTTGGAGACCTTCAAGATCCTAACCATCTTCCTGCTGTTTACAGATAAGCAAACGGAGGCACCAAGAATATAAGTAGCTTGTCCCAGGTCACAGTGAAAAGCAAGAACGTGACTTCTCCCCATTTCCAATCAGGGCCTCTGGACCCTGCCAGATGCCAACACTGCCTTGCGGGGTCCTAACACACCCCAGATGAAAACTCACAATGCCTAATCCCTCTGTCCACCCCATCAGTAGAGGAGCTGGAAAGGCCCATGAATCCTCCTTCAGGACCCAGAAATCTGTAGGTCTAATGATTAGGGTTTTTGGTTTTTTCTTCTGTCCTCTTCCCACTTCTGTAGACTGGACCCCTGACTACTATGAGAGTAGCTACGAGTATTACAACCATGAAGAGAACAGCAGCGATACTCTTGCCTACCAGGAGAATCCCGACTGGTACTACACGGAGGAAGGTAGGTGCCAAAGCTGTTCGGGGGACCCTCCTGGGAGAAGGGCAGCGCACTTAAAAGAGGGTCTGTGTGTGACTGCATATGCAAGCATCTCTCTCCTCCTCTCTGACCGGCATCATAAAATGGGTACCAGATAAATGACTCCGGCTGGCGTTTTTTTCCAGCTAGAGTCATGCACTAGGAGGACTGGGGAGGTTCCTAGAGACTATCTGTCCCACTCTCAAATGACAGATGAAGCAAGCGAGGCCAGGAGTGGAGTTACCTTAGCCAAGGTCATACAGCGAGTTAGCTCATCTTCACCAGGTCTCCCAAGACTGTGAGTCAAAGTCATGCTCAAAATCGCTTCCCGGCTTTGATTACAGGTAGGTCCTAATTATGCCGTAGAGGCTGGCATCAGCATTAGGCACCAGATTGCAGCATTCACAGATTGAACGTTGAGATTTCTGTTCCACTTGTGCCGTGTTTTTGTCTCTCTTTATACCCTTCAGAAGCTTTGTATGGTTGTTGGTGTGTGCGTGCCTGTGTGTGTGTGGACTCACACCCGTGCCTCCACGTTTGTTTTTGTGTTTATGGCTTCTTAACCCAAGCAATGGGACAGAAGGGAAAACGAGAAGCAGGGCCCAAGAGAAAACCATGTGACTAAGCCAGGAGAAGAAATGGAAAGCACTCAGCCGCTGGAATAAAAACTGTGTAACTGTGCGAAGTGGCCTGGAAGGCAGGGCCAAGATACAGGGCATCAGGGGAACATCAGAAGGGACCATCAAAACAAGAGCTGGGCCCAGGGATCCTAGTTCCTGAACCAAAGAACAATGTGTGTGAACAGAAGGATAAAGAATTCCCCAAGGGAAGATCCATTCAGACAACCATGAAAAGCCAAAGGCACAGATGAAATATGACAAAATCTATCTGAACAAGTAGTTGAAGAAAGATGAAGGCCACTGGGTCATTTCCTCCTCGCCGCCAATTCTTCTGTCACCCTCTTGCCTTTGGTCTTCTTTCCTGATGTTCAGAAAGCTTGTGTTTCATTAGGGGTGGGTTTTCTTTCCCCACTCCTGACCTCCGCCCCTGGGCACTGGGAGTAGGGGAGGTCTTCAGGCTTGTGAAATGCCTTCAGCATCAGAGGCAGACCCCGTGGCACTCCCAGCGAGACTGGGAGGAGAAAAACACTGATGGTGGAAAAGGGGAGTTTCTCAATGAGAAACTCAATGAGATTCCTTCTCGCCGGTCCTCTTACTAACCCGAATCCCTCTCTCTGGTCGTGTGACTGCAGTCTTCCTTGCTCTTTAAGGGCAGCCCATGTTTCCCCCCTGTCCCCGGTCCCTGGCTGTGAATGTGCTCTCTCAGGCGGGGCAGGAGGCTGCAATCTGATGAGAAAGTCGGGGGCTTCTCACCTGCCGTTCGCTGCACGTTGACTTCTGCTCACGTATCCTAGATCCGTGCCTGGACAACCCCTGCAAACGCAATGGGGACTGCCTTGTCAGTGGGGACACCTTCACGTGCAGCTGTCCAGCCCCCTTCTCTGGACACAGGTGTCAGAATGGTAAGTGCAGGTTTACTGGATTCACTCTTCCTTCTGAGTTGAACAAGAGGCTGCTCCTCCTCCACGTCTAGGGGGTAGAGAAGGGCTGAATGATTTCACGGAAAGGATCATAGCTGTACATATCGGATCATCCATAATGGACTCCTCAGCATGGTAATAAGCAGCATCGCACTGAATCCTCACCCGTGCATATTGGCTAGGACTAGGGTAACCACCGTACAGATGGGAACACTGAGGCTAAGAGGAGATAAGAGCTGGACCCTGACTGAGATGTATTCTAAACTCAGGACTCGTTGTTGCTTAGACTGTTTGTATTAACTACAACAGAGCAATTCTGCTCTCAAATGAGACAGCAGGAAGAATCTGAAGGCATGGAAGGCTCAACCCATCTAGAGGAAGGGAGCCCAGAGATACAAGGGATTTGCTCATGGTCACACAGCTACTTAGGAGAAAAGAAGAAATCGGAGCCCTGGTGCCTGGCTCCCATCCCCATGTTCTTTCTTCCTACCATCCTCACTTACAGAGACTCTGGAAAAACTCTTTCTGCCTTTAGTGACCTCTTATGGGCATAACCTGAAGCTATGTGGTAAGATATTGAGAATAGAACTCTTAAGGGCTAACTGCACCCCTAGAGAGAACCTGAATTCTGTTCCATCTGGCAACCATCTAACTGGGGTGAGGGGGGCCATGAGGATCTTTATCTAGAGACATGGTTGTCCTCTTTCCTCTGTGCCCTCTTCATTCCTTCCTTCCATTTTCAATACTACAGGTTTTTTGATAAATGTTTCAGGATGGTTGGGGTATCAGGCATAAACATAGTATCTGGCTTCGTCCCTCAACTGCCCAAAAGAATGACAAAATTGTAAATGGAACACAAAATCAACTCGAAAGTAGAGAAATTAAAATTGCAGCTCTATTTGTTTGTTGAAGGTGTAAAAATTATCAAGGTTTTTTTTTTTAATAAAGATAGAATAATAAAGAACATGAGCCTTGGAAGGAACTGGGGTGCAATCATCCATGATCTAAGGATTTATTTAAAAACAAACAAACAAACAAACAAACAAACAAACAAACATTTTGTCCAGGATGTTTCAGGACCACAGACAAGGGCATGCTATCAGTCACCCCTCACCAGCACCCCCAAATGTTGTACTGTACAGGTACCCCAGTAAGTAAGACGTGCCCCCAAATCATGTCCCCTGCTTCTCTATGGATCTCCTACAGTGCAAAACACGTGCAAAAACAAACCGTGTGGCCGGGGCGAATGTCTCATTACCCAGAGTCCTCCCTACTACCGCTGCGCCTGCAAACACCCTTACAATGGCTCAGACTGCTCCACAGGTAAGTGGTGGAGGCCCCCTTCTAGGAGAGGTTTTCTCTATCTGGCTTGTGCCTGCGATGTCTGCAACCCATTGCATGGAAGTCCCAATACCTCGGATGTTTCAGTAGCATCCAAGATGATGCTTTTAACTAGGACATTTTTAAAATGCACCACCCCGGACACCTGGGTGGCTCAGTCAGTTAAGCACCCGAATCTGGATTTTGGCTCAGGTCATGATCTCACGGTTCGGTTCATGAGATCAAGCCCAGCATCGGGCTCCTGTGCTGACAGTGCAGAGCCTGCTTGGGATTCTCTCTCTCCCTCTCCCTCTGCCCCTCCCCTGCGCTGCCCTTATAAACAAACAAACAAACAAACAAACAAACAAACTTTAAAATGCACCATCCCTGGACCACTTGCATGGCTCAGTGGGTTAAGCATCCAACTTTGGCTCAGGTCATGATCTCATGGGCTGTGAGTTTGAGCCCTGAGTTGGGCTCTGTGCTGACAGCTCAGAGCCTGGAATGGAGCCTGCCTGGGATTCTCTCTCTTCCTCTCTCTCGGCCCCTGCCCCGCTCGTGCTCTGTCTCTCTCTCTCTCTCTCTCTTAAAATAAATAACCATTGAAAATTGAAATTTAAAATGCACCCTCCCTAAAGAGTCTGATGGGAATTAACTAACCCATCCAAAAAGAATCATCTTGAAACTCACTTCCTCCAAGAAGGTGGTCTATTCCTGGAATGGGCCACATAGGGATTAAATCTGTATTTAGTCACTGCTATGAGTCAGGCATTGTCCCAAGAGATTTACATTTTTTCTTAGATTCTTCCCAAAATACCATAAGTCAGAGCTTTATAGATGAAGGGGCTGAAGTTCAGAGAAGTGAACTAACTCTCTCATAGTCACACAGCTATTAAAGGCAGAGCCAAGTTTCAACCTAGCTCAGACGGGCCCCAGATTCCTGCTCAGTCCATGCCTCCTATTCCTAACTGAGTGACCCGTCTACTTACATACTCTTTTTGGCATGGCCTCCATCGTATTGCCTCATCCATGTTTGTTTATGTCCTTAAGGTTCGTGTCTGCCTTTACTAGAGTGTCAGTGGGTCTGTCTTTCTCCTTTGGTAACCCATATTTTGTGAAAGAATGGGCACCAGCAGAGTGCCACCGGTATCTCCTCGTCATCTCAGATGTAGCTGCAACTCCTTCTGAAGAGCCTTCCTGGCCCCACTTCCTGTCTTCACAGCGGTTCCTGCGTGCCGGCCGAACCCCTGCCAAAATGGTGGCATCTGCTCCCGGCATAAGCGGAGAACCAAGTTCGTCTGTACCTGCCCCGAACAGTTCAAGGGGAAATTCTGTGAAATAGGTATGGGTCTCTACCGCCACTTCGTCAGAAACTCAGAGCCACAGTGAGGGCCCTGGGATTCTCTTCCGTTTGGGTTTTGTTCCCAACGGAAGAATGGGAGTCATGTCAAGATGTCCAAAGTCTACTACTGCCCCAGCCTTCCAACCTCAGGGCATAGAGTGTGCCTGGCTTTTAAACAAAGTCATAAACGGGGATAGAGTGCGGGTGAATTAAGCGCACCTGGGCATCCTTGAGCCTCAACCTACAGGTTGCCACCAGTACTTGTGTGAGAACTACGTTCCAACTCCCCACAACCACTATATTTCATGTTTTAAGCTGGGCTGAATGTGGAAGATGCAAGCCACTTTCTTTCTGGAATTCATGGTGGACTCTCAAGGTGATCAGTATTCGGGCCCAATCCTTTCCCCACTTGATACACCTGCCAAGTCCTGGAGCACCATGTCTGTTGCTGTCCGTTCTCACGCCCCTGCCTGCTCTCTCCAAGGTCCTGACGACTGCTATGTTGGTGACGGCTACTCTTACCGAGGGAAAGTGAGTAAGACAGTCAACCAGCACTCCTGCCTTTACTGGAACTCCCACCTCCTCTTGCACGAGAATTACAACATGTTTATGGAAGATGCTGAAACCCATGGGATCGGGGAGCACAACTTCTGCAGGTAAAATTCACCTTCTTCCCCATGATCAGTCTTGGGCGCTTATCAGGATAATGGTTTGTCCCTTTCTCCTTCTCTTAGTGTTCCTGGGCTAGCTTAGAAATTTGGGGATGGAACACTGAAACTCATCAGGTTTCCTTCTAGGAAGATTTCCTACTCAGGATAGGCTAGGTTGTGCTGTCGTAACAAACACCTCCCAAATCCCAGTGGCTTGAATACCTCCGAGTTTATTCTTCACTGCTGCTGCCTTTGTCATGTGGGCTGTCATGAGATTATTAGCTCCACAAAGTTACTCAGATGTCTAGGAAAGGCAGGGAGAGGCTCAAAAATGGAGCATGAGGTTTTTACTACTTCAACCTAGAAGTGACACATCATCTCCACAACACTTAATTCGTTGGCCAGAAATAGTCACATAATCCTACATAACTTCATGGGGGAAATGTAGAGAATAAAAGGGAATGTCCGATGGGCATTACAGTCTCTGCCACAAGGATATTCAGGTTTTTCCAAGTAAGGATAATGCCATTTCTTTTTTTTTTTTTTTTTTTTTTTTTTTTTTTTTTTTAATTTTTTTTTCAACGTTTATTTATTTTTGGGACAGAGAGAGACAGAGCATGAATGGGGGAGGGGCAGAGAGAGAGGGAGACACAGAATTGGAAACAGGCTCCAGGCTCTGAGCCATCAGCCCAGAGCCTGACGCGGGGCTCGAACTCACGGACCGCGAGATCGTGACCTGGCTGAAGTCGGACGCCTAACCGACTGCGCCACCCAGGCGCCCCAGGATAATGCCATTTCTATCCCTGGTGATGATTGGTTACCTTCTTCCCCTTCTGCTGCCTCCAGACTGCTCTGTTGGCTTCCTCCACTGCTCTAACCAAGGCCAAGGACACATATAATTTGCGTATAAGGAGCAGGAATTTTTTTTTGTATGGCTTTAAATTGGTTCCATTAAGCCAGAGGATTTCCCTTGTACAAAACACAAGTTACCTCCCACCATCACTCACTTTGAGCTGTTCCCCTCGTGGAGGCGTCTTCAGACAGATGTCCATGGCAGCCTTCAGACAATTCCCACATATGCAATTTGGAGGTTTGGGCAGTGGAGCCCTACACTCACCATGTTTCTGTGGCTCTCTCACTTTCCTGACAAAGGACAATCTTCAACAGGGATCTCATTTCTTTTCGTACAAACAATTTGATATGTCCCATGGATCTGGCACAGGGCTTGTTAACCATTTCTTGGTCATTGGGATTCTCCTCTGGAAGTTAAGGTTTTGCCCCCAAACACTTATATGCCAGCATCTGTTAACCTGTTGGATGAATGGAATGAAATGTGGTCCCAGAGGGAGCAAGGAACCTGGTACTGGCTTACCCAAAGGACTTTTAATGAGGGTCAGTGGGTTTGCCAAGCCTTGACGGTGGGCTATTTTCTGTTCTCATTTTAGAAACCCAGATGGAGATGAAAAGCCCTGGTGTTTCATTAAAATAAACAATGCAAAGGTGAAATGGGAGTACTGTGACATCCCAGCTTGCTCAGCCCTAGGTAAGACCGTGGCTGTCCAGAAGCCCCAGTCATGGTGAGATTGCCGATCCCTAGACGGATTTTCCTGGCACCCCATCTCTTCCATCCCCATCCTTCCACCACACCTGCTTTTCCCATTGCCATCCCAGTGGAAACCCAGATGCCCAATCCTTTGCACCCCTTCCAGGATGCCTAGCAAGCCCAGATACCTCTGTAAACTGAGACCAGTGATCCAACCATAAACTCCTGTCCTAACTCCCAGTCAGTGCACTCAGCAAATTTGTGGATCACTTGCTATGTGTCAGGCACTATGTCAGGCCTTCAGTTTACAGTGGTGGGCAAACATTGGCTGAGACTCCATAAATAACCGTTCAGGACGCAACATGGACAGAGTTCCAGCCTCACAATCCTCCTGCCGGGCTTCTCTGGACTACCGCTCTACACACGTCTGGAATGTTTCACTCTCCCATCCTGATCAATGGGATTACCTCTCTGGATAGTTTCAATTCTGTGCCTTTTCTTTCATGGTCAGCTCTGTCTAGAATACCCCATCCTCCCTCTGATCTTGTCCATATCCAACATTCTTTAGAAATCAACTCAACTAACCCTGCCTCTGGGAAATCCTCCATGACCCTACCAAGTGAAGTGTTATCTCTGCCTCCTCTCAAACCCCATGGAATGGAAAGGGTACCACCCATACAACACTTACTGCACTCTCCTTTGTATGACAGTTATTTGCGCAATTGTCTTATGTCCCTCACTCTATTTCATCTGGATATCTCCCCTTACACGTCAAGAAAGCCTCCAAAATACATGCGTACATGATGAATAGCTAAGTACATACCCAGTGATGGATTTATATATTTACACACACGTTTTTGTCTCCATATCAAAATAAGAAGCAACATCTTCATTGTTAATTCTGTCGACTTGCTTTATATCCATCAATGTATTCAACACGTATTAATTGCGCACCTACTGTGTGCCCACTTTGGATGCGTCAGAATGGTCTTTTAGCTCTGGAACTTGCTAAGCTGCTGGACTTGGAGTCATACCTCTGACAAGTTCCTTCTGAGGCCTTGGAGAGAAAGGGAGTAGCGTGATCTGTCTTTCTTGCATTGCATTGTCTTTCAGACATTGCTGACCCAGAGGGAAGCCCCACAGAGCCTCTGACCAAGCTTCCAGGGTTTGACTCATGCGGGAAGACTGAGATGGGGAAGGTCAAGAGGATCTACGGAGGCTTCAAGAGCACAGCGGGCAAGCACCCATGGCAGGCATCCCTGCAGACCTCATTGCCATTGACTGCCTCCATGCCCCAGGGCCACTTCTGTGGGGGCTCACTGATCCACCCCTGCTGGGTGCTTACTGCTGCCCACTGCACTGAGTAGGTGCCTGCTGAACGCAGAGGCCAGGGTGACTCGAATCTCTGGGGGTGTTCTCTTCTTCCCATCTGAGCAGCGTCTTGGTGACTCTGGCAGGATCAGAGAGTCTAATCTAGCTCTAAGGGCAAAAGAGTGGCTCCATAAAACCGGATGGAAAAGAACTACCACAGGCATTGCACGTGTTATGACAGTTAATCCTCAAAACTATCTACTGAGGGAAGATAGGGGTTTTTACTCTGATTAATTGTGGTATACCCAATGCCGAGTACAGGTCTTCATACAGAGCAAGTGCTTAGTAAATATCTGTGCAGTGAAAAAGTTGATTATTATTCCCATTTCATAAACAAAACCCTGGGTCTTGGGAAAGTTTGGCACCTTGGCTGAAGTCATGTGGGAAGTGAATAGGTAAGTGGGATATGAACCCGGATTTACCCGTTTCCTTAACCTTTCCAGCCTGGCCTTGAATAGAAAAATATAGCATGCTCCCATCTGATGCCATTCCCATGAACCTCCTGGTGTCTTCAGCCACGACTCCTGGGTGGCTTAGAGAAACCAGTACCTACTGAGGAGCCTGAATTATCACCGCTTCCCCTGAGTTCCCCAAGTTCATGGTCAGGCCTGGTCCCACATAGCCCAGGTTTTGGTGGTGACCTTGAAGGTCTTCCAATCCACCCTGGCATTAAACAGTTTCTTCTGGGATTCCAGGAGATGTTCCTCAAACATGCAAACATTAGCCTGTACAAGGAATAGTTGTTCAAGAAGTCAATTGGCTGCTCTTTAGCAAATCCTAGGGGCAATGGAAGGTCTCCCAGGAAATATGAGATATATGTTTCCGCTTACATTTGTAGACCGGTCCATTAATAAAGCAGCTTCCTCACATTTTCTTATTTGGGCCCACAGCAGAGTTCCGTGAGCAAGATGACAGTCACAGATGATGCCAAGGCTGCAGAAGTTCAGGCCATCTGTCCAGGGTCACACAGCTCACTAGGAGCAGAGTCTTGGCTTCAGTCTCTTACCATCTCACCTTCCTTTGCAGCATAAAAACCAAACATCTGAAAGTGGTGTTAGGGGACCAGGACCTGAAGAAGACAGAATTCCATGAGCAGAGATTCGGGGTGGAGAAGATTTTCAAGTACAGCCACTATAATGAAAGAGACGAGATTCCCCACAATGATATTGGCAAGTGTCTTCTATGGTGGATCTCCCATGGGTCTTGTCCTGGGCGGATTTCACTACTGATGAAAAGCTGAGGTTTGGTTCTAGAAGATGTTCTTATCTTTTTGGTCCCTCACAGACTCCATAAGGAAGAGAATTTATTCCAGAGCCTTTTAGTCCTAAAGGTCTGTGTTAGTGTTATGATAAATGAGGGGAAGAGAAACTAGCAACACTGTGTTGTGGAAAGAGCTCAGCCTTGAATCCCAACTCTCTCATTTACTAGCTGACTTCACCTCCCCAAGCCTCAGCTCCCCTTCTGTAAAATGGGTACACTTGTGTACAACACTCAGCTTCCTATGTGTTAAATGACACGACGTGCATGTGTCCCCGTGTACATCAGGCACCTGGGAGGTACTCAGGTGTGGAGGCGATAATGTTAAGCTACTGGCTGTTCAGTAGGTACGTTCTCCATTCCTGGGACCTGACACTCTCTCTCCTTCCTCACTATCTTTTTCTTTCCCCCTCTTGAAGCCTATTCTTTTAAAAAATGGATTAGAAATGATTTCAAACTCAACTGTTATTTTTTGATATTACTCTCATCCTGAAGTCCTACTCCTCCCCTGGTGGAAGTTAAAAGAACTCAATGACTGAGGAGGAAGTCATTAGTTTCTCGGGCATTGGGGGTGGGGCTTTGCCACGTCTCCCTTCCGATCGAGTTGAAGCTAGTGCTCCTTTGGCAGAAGGTGCTGCATCATCTTTTTCTCCTTACCTAGCTTTGCTCAAGCTAAAGCCGGTGGATGGTCACTGTGCTCTGGAATCCAAATATGTGAAGACTGTATGTTTGCCCGATGGTGCCTTCCCCTCTGGGACTGAGTGCAATCTCTGGTGAGGGTGTGATTCGAGAAACAGGTATTCAATCTGCATTCTCTCCGGAACTCAGGTAAGTTGCATCAACCAGAGAAGCAAGGGTCAAACTCAACTGCCCTTCTGAACTTGACATCATGTTCCATTGAAAATGTATTACCAAAAAAAAAAAAAAAAGTATTACCAAAAATAAGAGATTGCCTCATCACTAAAGCTCTAGTTAAATCTCATCAGTCTTTTTATCAATGCTAGCTTCTGATGGGATCCTTGACGTCCATCAAGCATTGATACTGTATCCATGGAGATCTTTCTCCTTCCTTCCCTAGGCAGATTGGAAAGAGGATATAGATAGATCATAAAGAAGATGGGTTTGGCATCAGACAGACTTGTGTTAGGTTCTTGGCTTTGTCACTTGGACAGCTGGGTTTTAGTTTCTCCATAACCACACTTACCTCCTAGGCTTGGAATCATGATAATAGGAGCTGATAGAATTCTATGGAGATATTCACTAAGTCAGGCCCTGGAGGGCAGGGTCCACTCTTGTTCATCGGTCTCTCCCATAGTGCCTTGCTCAGGGCTCACCACATCGTAGGCATTCTATAAATTTTTTTAACTCAAGCTATTGATTGGCCTCTAGGATGTGGTCTTTTTTAAAAAAAGTAACCACAGGATTAATTTCCTCATGTACCGACAAGATTATATTCTCTAACATATGAAATTCCAAAGTGTATTCCAAGTCTTTCTCAAATACTCAAAATAGATTTCTCTTCCCTCCAAATCTTGTCCTTAATGACGGAAAGCAAGAAACACTTTAAATAGACCTGTATTCGTGAAGAAAAGGTAGTGTAATACACAAATTTATCAGAAGGCTTCTGGGAATGAAGGCTTCTGGTTAATCAGATCTGGGGGTAGCCAGAGACTGATCTTTGTAGGGATCTTCATTGTCCTGCACCTAAACCTTTCGATATCACTGTGCTGACCAGAGCAGACTGAGCAGAACAGAGGATCCTCGGGAAAAGAAATGTCTACTCTGGGAAGTGGGTCATCTAGAGGAGCAACCGGGCACTTGGTCCATCATTACGAATCTACTGTGTACCAGCCCTCTGCTAGGAAGTTTTAAAAAATGGCTTAAGCCACTATCCCTGCCCTTCTGATCTGATGGTCTAGCCGGGCAGACAGAAGAGGGAATAAATAAATGATTCTGCTGCATTGTGATAAGCAAAGCAATGAGGGTCTATAAAACCACAGTGAAGGCTGGAGGCAAAGGTCCCCATCCTTAAAACATGAAGCTCTTCTGCCCATCTCCCGGAAAAACCTTCCTTTCTGAGTTCAGAGCTGTGGCCCTCTTTTTATCAGTGCTAGCTTCTGGTGGGGCAGGTGTCACCCGGGTCCCCACAGTGGCAATCTCTTTTCTCTGTCCCACAGGGGAAGGGTCCCGCCAGCTCCTGGATGCCAAGGTCAAGCTGATTGCCAGTACTTTGTGCAACTCCCACCGACTCTATGACCACATGATCGACAACAGCATGATTTGTGCAGGAAACCTTCAGAAGCCTGGAAAAGACTCCTGCCAGGTCAGAGACTCCAAATGGCACTTGGGGAGGGAGACGTGGGCTGGGAACATACACCGGGCACAGAGGCCAGACCAAGAGCCCAGGGCTGGGAGGCAGTTTCAGAGGTCCACCTGCCATAAAGCTAAGGCACAGGCAGGCATACCTGTCCTCTGGCAAGTCGGAATCCACATCCATCCAGGATGACTGAGCATAGTAACCGGCAGGCATGACACTGGTGAAGGAGATGTCATCGTCTTCATTTTACAGATGAGCAGAGAAACGATCTGGGCCTACAGCACCTGGGTGGTGAGCGGGCAGAGCAGGAATTTGCTTCGCTGTGTTTCAATGTGAAAATGGTGCTTCTGGCCTCAGAACGGGGCAGCATGTCTGAAAATCCCAGTACAGAACTATCCAAAAGACCAGTGGCTAGAAGGAGAAAGATGACAGGCCCAGAGAACTCATGATAATATTAACTAATTATTAGGCTTTGTGTGTGTGTGAGAGAGAGAGAGAAAAAGAGAGAGAGAGAGACATAGAGAAGGGGAGGGGGATTCAGGCCTAGCAAACTAAGTGGCTGAGTGGCTCCTCTGTAGCAACAGCCAACCTAGGGCCTGCCCGACACTCCCCAGGGGTCACATCTCACAGGAGACGTCCTTCCTAGACTCCGAGGCACAACCAAATTTAGAATTTTCTGCCTATCTCCTCCCAAAGGCCCCGCCCCCTAAGACCATCACATTGGGGAATTAGGCTTCAACATATGAATTTGGGGGGGGGGCGGGGGGGGACACAAACATTCAGTTCATTACACCGAAATAATTCCCCGGTCTCGGGTGCCTAGTCTATAATATGGAAATCACGTCTACGTAAAATCCGAAGATCTGAAGAGCTTTAGCCACTGAAGATCCTATCGGTTGCCGTGTGTTAAGTGGAGATATGCGTCGAGAGCTATGTTTTCTCTCCATGCTCCTCCTGCTAATTTAACTGGGGGCTCAGTATGAGCCAGGCACCGTTCCAGGTGCTTTACAAACATTAACCCGTGCAAGAGCCAGGGCGGGTGGGGGATGGTCGGTTGCTCTCCCCAAGTTTGCAATGTGAGAAACTGAGGCCCAGTTGGCTGTCCAAAGCCTGGTCTGGAACCCGGAAGATCTAACCCCACAGACCATGTCAAACATGTGGGCCATGCTATTTCTAAGCCCTGTCCTCCCCACCCTGTGCGTGGCCCCTTCGGGTCCCTTCAAGGGCTCTGGCCAAACAGGGCACTGCTCCCTACCGAGGCCCCTGCAGGAATGAGAAGTTGAGGGCCTCTGAGAATTCACCCTGTGACTATGGGTCATGAGTAAGAGCATGGACGTGGAGGTGTGACCAAGGCACGTGGCCCAGCCCCGTGACTCATCTGCCAACCCCTCATGAACTCAGGGACATGTGTTGGCGTTCACATCTCTCCCTTCAGAACTCTGGGTCATATAAGGCACAGGAGGGTCCCTGCCAGCACTCTCCAGGGAGACCCACCGGGGTGACCGCACCCCCTGGCATCTCCTCATGGAAGGTGGGGGTGTCTCTGAAAGTGCTCTGATTCACAAAGCTGCGCTCGCGTGTCTTTTCCCTTAGGGTGACTCGGGAGGCCCTCTGACCTGTGAGAAGAATGGCACCTACTATGTCTATGGGATAGTGAGCTGGGGCCTGGAATGTGGGAAGAAGCCAGGAGTCTACACCCTAGTGACCAAATTCCTAAATTGGATCAAAGCCACCATCCAAAGGGAGACTAGCTTCTAAGGTGTCTTCTTAACCTGAGAGTCCATTCTCCTTAGCACCCAGACAAGGCACACCCTCATGGGCAGCACGGACACCCTGGGCGTCCCTGGGAGGCCATACAGCCAAGAGTCTGCACCCTACACAGAGACAACAGCCGCCCAGCCTGGCGCATCCTGGACCAAGATATGCCAGAAGCAACGCAACCCGTATTTTGTTTGCTTCCCTTCAAACGATGGTACCTTCTAGAAAACCACAGACTGCCTTTACCTCGGACATTTGCAAATGTGGGATTAAAGAATGACCAGAGCCACTGGAAGTCACCTTTACGTCTTTATTCCTCATGCCAGACACCCAAAGTACACAGCAGAACGGGTCACCCCCTTCCAGGATGACCCGGAAGACCGAAAATACGACATTCTCCGTAGCTTTCTAAGAGTCGTTAAGTAAAGCGGCTCAGGGAATGGGCTGGTGTGTCATGTTTTTTTGTTTTTTTTTTTTTGGCTTGCTGGAACAGAAGCATGTCTCTGCTGGGCACAATTCCTCCCCAGCCGCTCTCCCAAGAATCCTGGGTGGATGCCGCGTGCTCACAAGGGCAGACCCCTCCTCCTTTTGACGTGCAGAATCTCCATGGCGTCTGGGTTCACGTCCCCCCTCTGATTATCCGCGGGCTCCACAGCCTCTGGTCCCCCCTGCAGGAATCAAACATACCTCCCTGAGTCCGAACGAAGCTTCCGCCCCGCTCCCACACGCGAGCTGCCTAAGATGCCCCCGGAGCATTTAAAACGTTCTCCCTCCCCTGCCCTTCCCTTCCTCCACCCTCCCCAAGAAAAACGATCCTCGAGGCAAGAAGGAGAGCGAAGCAAAGCCAATCTCTCATTTAGACGTAGTGTCTTTCTTCTGAACAAAGCAGGGTTCAAAACCCAGACTGTTGCAGCCAGCGAGTCCCTGACCCTTTCTGCAAATGTAACGAGCAAGCAGTCAGCACAGCCTGGGCTTCCGTGGCCCGGGATTGATGTAGCCCCGGTAGGTTTGTCTCCGCAGAACTAATGGCTGTGACTTCAGAGAAAACCCTGCAGGAAGTTTAACCCGGGTGTCATCCGCCTGGTCATCTCAGACCCATGAAATTAGGCGCCTTGCTCGAGCTGCATTTCACACTTCTTTAGAGCCGGCTGACCTTTGGCCAAAAATAAAGTTTGAAAAGAAACAAGGAGTTTGCCTTTCCCCACGGCCGTGCCAGCTGGGGTGGGTCTGGAGCTTGCTACTCACGTCAGCCCCCCGGAGACCCAGGCCCCTCGCCTTGGCCAGTTCTGCCGCGCGCCGGGCCATCTCCACTTTGTAGGAGCCGGGAGGGGTCCAGCCGATACCTCTGGTCAGGTTCAAGTCTGATTTGTACTTGACCTTTCGGGGGAAGGAGGGAAGCAAGAGGAATAGGTCAGCAGGGTTTGGGGGTGATCTGGCCACAGAGTGGAGAATTCCACATGTGGAATGAGAGGCCGAGGCACAGGAGGAAGGGTCTCGGCCCGGGCTGAGCGAGGGCAGCTCACATCGCTTTGCAGCTGGTGGGCCTTCTGCGCATGCTTCAGGCCCAGCTGCTCGGGAATTATGAGTGGGCTGGGGCGAAGTACCCTGTAGCACCGTCGCTTCAGCTTCCAGCTGCTGGCTCCTCCTGGCCTGGAGGAGGCCGAGCTGGTCTGGGCGGCTGTGGAACTGAGACCGACTCTTGTAATCCTTCTGTACTGGTGTCTCTGGAGTTTTGCCCGGCGTTGTCACCTCATCGCCGTTCGTCCTGGGCCTTTCTGTTTTAATCTGCTGGCCCCGGTCTCTCAGGAAGGCCTCTTTATACCGGAACTGCAGGTCAGAGGCAGAGGGTAGTGGGTACCTGCCTCCCTTGGCCACGGGGTCTGAAGAGAAGTTCAAGGATGGGAAGAGCACGGATTCATTGCACCTGGGATCTGCTACCTTCTAGCTCTGTGGCCCGTTGTGACTGGAGTCCCTCTGAGCCTCAGTTTCCCCACCTGATAAAATGGAGAGTGAGAACCTCACCCCGGGACACTGGCGGATTCAATGAGCTGGGGGCTAAGCAGCGTCTGCTGATTCCACCAGTGTGACTCTGGGGTGTGGAACAACAGGAAGAGGAACCGCGCCCAGTCTGTCAGCAGCCACTCTTCCTTGATTTTCAGTTGCAGGGACCGGGCCCCTCATACCATCTATAGTGAAGGGCCAGATTCATTTAAGTCTTGCTTTTTTTATTTATTTTAAAATTTTTTTTTTTTTTTTAAATTTTTTTTTTTTTTTTTTAGCGTTTATTTATTTTTTGGGACAGAGGGCAGAGCATGAGCGAGGGGAGGGTCAGAGAGAGGGAGACACAGAGATCAGAGCAGGCTCCAGGCTCTAGACCATCAGCCCAGAGCCCGACGTGAGGCTCGAACTCACCGGACAGCAGTCGTGACCTAGCTGGTCGGACGGCGACCTCGCCACCAAGCCCTTAAATTTTTTTTTTAGCGTTTATTTATTTTTTTGAGATAGAGAGGGCAGAGCATGAACAGGAGGTCAGAGGAGACACAGAATCGAAACAGGCTCCAGGCTCTGGGAAGCCATCAGCTGGGCTTGATCTCGGGAACTCGAACTCTGGTCATGAGATCCTTGGCCTGGGCAGTCGGACAGCCTTAACAGGCTGAGCCACTGAGCACCTTAATCTTACACTTTTAAATTGCCAGTCCGTCAAGGTCCCAGATGTGGTTCTACCGCACCTGCAGTGGGGTGCCTTGTGCGTGTGACGACACCCAATGCGGCCCCTGCCCTGCTCAAGATAAGTCCACCGGGCACATGCTTGGCTGTCACCATAGCTAGTTGCTGCAAATGTTTCTAAATGCTTGCCCTTGGTTTCTGTACTTATTGTGGGCAGAGACAAGCTGTTCGTGATCAATGATCCAGTCAATGATGCCTTCCTCTTCCATAACAATGGCTGCCATGTTTTGAACACCTGTTATTTGCATGACACTCTGAACTATTTTGTTTTCACTCCTACAACAGTCCTAGGAGATAAAAATTATACCCGTTGCTCATAGATGTAGAAATCTGCCTCCACAGAATGTGAGCAACTTGCCCGACACCACGCAGCTGAGTCCTAAATGACTGAGCCCGGACTTTAACTCAGACGAGTCGAGGTGGAAAGCTCAATCTCTTTCTACCCTGTCACGCTGTACTTCAGCTAAAAGTGCTTTTATGTGGATCAACACATCAATCACATGTTGATTGACCTCTCGGTACACACACATCAAGTTTTAAGAGTGTCTCTCCTGAGAGTGTCTGGGTGGCTCAGTCTGCTAAGCGTCTGACTTAAGCTCAGGTCATGATCTCGTGGTTTGTGGGTTTGAGCCCTGCGTCGGGCTCTGTGCTGACAGCTGGAGCCTGCTTCAGATTCTATGTCTCCCCCTCTCTCTGTGCCTCCCTCTTTTGCACGCTGTCTCTCTTTCTCTCTCTCAAAAATAAACATTAAAAAAATAGTGTCTCTCTTGGGGCGCCTGGGTGCTCAGTCAGTTAAGCGACTGACTCTTGACATCCGCACTGTGACAGTGCACAGCCTGCCTGGGATTCTCTCTCTCCCTTTCTCTCTGCCCCTCCCATGTGCCTCTCTCTCTCTCAAAATAAATAAATAAACTTAAAAAGTTAAAAAATAATAAGAGTGTCGCTCTTAAGAGAGAGAAAGTGGGAAAACAACCCTCCCCAACTTAAAACTTCTAGCTAAGATTCTGGGAGATAAGACCTATTTTTAATTTCATTGGAAATATTTGTTCAGTTTTGGTTCCTGGTGGTTTTCGTTTTAACAGAACTGGGAAAACCAGTCAAAACTCTCAGTGACAGAGGGAGACAGAGCCTGAGGTCTTACGTCACTGGCGATCTCTCTGGACGCCCGGGCAGTCTGGAATGGAATGGCGTCCAGCCTGAAGTCATAGCCGACAGCCCGCGTCTGTTCCCAAGAGTTTCTGTAGGCTTTCTAGATGGCGAAAACAAAGAAGCGAACGAGCAGGGAGTGAGAACTCCGTATCTGGCATGTTGTTAGTTCTGAGCAGGAACAGATCCTAAACACACACCCTCGCCCTTGCAGGGGCCCAAGGACAGAGCCACAGCCCCGCATCCACCCTGAGGACCTCTCCAGCTCTGAGCCTGGTGGGACTGGCCACGAAGGGCTGCAGCTCTAAGCCCCTGGCTTGCTCATCAGGCCCTGCCCTGGCGGGTCTGGGCTCAGCGAGTCCGGCTCATTCGCTACATCCTGTTGGTACGAGGGGCCCCTGCCCCACACCTCCCTGTGTTTGCATTCGCTTTCAGTGCCTCAGGTTTGCAGCTTCCAAACAACAGAACTCAAAGTTCGAGAACTCTGTTTCTTCAGATACGCGGAAAGTACTATTCCTTAGGTCCCGGCACCCATGGGTTTGTTAGCTCCAAAGACTTCCTGGGGGCCCCTCGGCAGCTCCCAAAGCCACGTCACCCCATCGCGATGAAGCGGGCTGTGTCCCATATGCACCCCATGAGGATGCACCGAGGGAAGAGCCTTCACCTGCATTAAATTGATTGCCAAGAACCTGACCGAGTTCCTGACCCATGTTATTTCACATCTTCCTCTTTCATTTTTCCCCTTTTGAAGCTGTTCTCACACACCCTCCAGGAGTCTGTAATCACACCCTCTTAGTCCTCAGGTAGACCCACATAACCGATAGAGCATCAAAATCTCCCATGCCTTCATGTAGCTAATAATTTTTTTTTTTTTCAAGATAAGGGAATGGCTCAATGAAAGGAACCATCTGGAGATCCCAGTGGAGGGCTGTCCTTTATTCAGCCACAGAGAAGGGAGACAGCAGGCGAGGCACATCAGCAGCAGATGACAAAGTGACAGCCCCAGACCGTGTCTGTGGCTCACTCTTTCCAAGAGCCCCAGCGGGTCAGAAGGCCCTTTAAGAACCTTACTTTTGTCACTTGGAAATAGAGGTCAAGCCTGAGGCTCTGTTTTACAGGGGATTGAGGAGATTAAGCCAAGCGGGGATGGCAGATAAAAAGCAAAGTGCCTCACACGGCCGCACACCTGGGCCCGGAACCAGAGGGGCCCATGGAGGCTGAGCCAGGCACGGCGGAGCTCCGCGCTTTTAGGAATCGCCATCCATCACCTTCACCTTCATCACGGCCTCCACCTCCAACACCCAACGCTGCCAACCATGAGCGTTCAAGGGCCTAGAAATACAGAGCCCGTAACCATCGGGGCAATCACCTAATCGATGGGTCACAGACAGGGCCCAAAGGATTCCACTTCCCGGGTCGCCACTGAGTTTAGCAGGCGTGACCGAGGGATGCGTACAAGGGGAGGAGCGTTCAGATAACGACAGACCCACCGTCGCCTTTAGCATTATGCTGCCTAATGTGGCGGCCCAGCACACAGAGTCCCAACTCTTAGCGTCCCCTGGGAAGGTGACGGTTGGTGCCTTCCTAAAAGAGGGCCTTGGCACCAGATCTGGGCTGGGTAGGTACACCAAGCTTCACTCCGCCTCAAACTCCCACGTCACCCCACCGTGGTGTCGGATGCGCCCCTGCTTCCGGGTCTCTGCAGCCGAGGGCCAACGAGCCAGTGTGGCCCAAATTGGGGTTCTCCCCAAGACGCCTGCTCCCTTTCTCCTGCCCCCCTTCTCCCTGTATACTATTTGCTTGATTGTCATCACTTCCTCCCTGAGTTTTTTTATTCTGTTGAGGTTTCTGCCTTGCCGCTGGGAGCCTTTACATTCCGTAGGCGCTTTGATTTGGAACCCTGGGCGTTTCTCTTCTTTATCACAGTGGGCACAGTTTTGTCCTCATCCTCACACATTAGAGTCATTTGATTTTTAGTTATTTCGGCTGCCTTACACATCTCAATGGCTTTCTTTGCCCAGGAAGGTCACTTTCCCTCCACATCTTCCTCACAGAGCACTTGATCCAATTGTGTGCATTCTACACGCCCCCGAAGAAGTGCTCTTTCAAAAGAGGTTCATGAGTTCTCCATATCCGCATGCCCCGGCGGCTAATTTCAGCTCTGGGACTCTACAGACTGGCGTCCCTTGTGAGCCGGAAGATGCGCCGTCACCGGCCCGGGGCGGCCGTCCTCCTTAAGCTGGCCCCCAAACGGACCGGCAGTCTTATCCCAGTTTTTCGGGGCAATGGGCCTCCAATAGTTCGTCAAACGGAGGCCTGGCCTTCTCCCATCCTTGAAGCATTAATGCGATGGCTGTTTTGTCTGAGCTCTGCTGAGGGGGAGGTCCCGCTTCCCCAGATGGAGGTCAGCCCACCAGAGCTGCCGTTCTAAAATTATCGCTCGCACGTCCCTCAAAAGCATCAAATGGTCATAATAACTCATATTTACAAAGCCCCGCCGCATTCACCGCGTGGGATCCCACAGGGCTTTACAAACGCAACAAACTAATACACACGCTAACTAGAAGGCGCCTCTCGCCAACCCCTGCGAGGCGGCCACCTCTGGGGTGCACGGTAGCAGCTGTTGATCTGCGCGGAGCCCCAGGACACAATGGCCGGGCCAGGGAGGGAAGAATGGCCGGACTCGGGGAGGCCCCGCGCTGCCCCAGGCCGACACACTCAGCCTGTGTTATTCTGATCTGACGGCGTCTTTTGATTCTGCCGCCTGGCTAACCTGTTATCCCAGGATCACAGCTCTGCTGGCCGAGCGGCTGCCTATTCTATTACAACCGGGGGCCTCCGACCCCTGCTAACAACAAGCCTGGGTTTAGGAAACAGCATCTTGGTTATGCACGCAAAGGGCACACATCTAAGGGACACGGAAGTGTTGAAGGCCACCGCCTCACGCACAAAGGAGACTGTGTTTGTGCCCGATGGGCGGCAACCGCAGCGACTTTCCAAACTGTGCGGTGAGAAAGTGCCACGGCATCTCCGAAGTCACCCTGCTCCAAAGGGCCGAGGGCACGTGTCCGGGAAAGAGACAGAGCAAGCGTCTGCCCCTGCCAGGGCCAGGAGAGCGCACGACTGAGGTCTTTGCAGTCGTGCCCGGAACCAGAATTTCCGAGCTGGGAGGAACCACAGGCATCGGTTCGCCCGGCTCCAACCCATTTTCCAGTTGAGGAAACTGAGGCCCGGCGAGGAAGGTGGCTCCGAGTCGCACACGTGGTCTGTCTCACTCTCGGTCCCATGTTCTTCCCGTCCCAGGTCCTCCCTCCTGGGACTTTTTCTTCCCCAACGAGTAACATCCAGCTCGGGTATGGATACATTTACAAATACACTTACACACCACATGAACGGCTGCTTCACTTACGTCACTCAGGCACTGTGCGTTGAGGCGGGCTCTGGTGAAATCGGGGTGGTCGGGGATCGGGGTGTATCTGTGCAGGGACTCTGCGTCGCCCGCCCTGTACAGGCGCTGTGGGTAAGACAGGCTCACGGTAAGTGCAGAACTGCACCGGCCGAAGTGACAGGCGGAGAATAGGCGGACCCCCTTCCTGCCCCTCCCACCGAGTGCCCACCATCTCAGGGGCAGAACCCAGCCCAGCACGTGGAGGGCCTCCCGCCAGAACCCAGAACCCACCGGCTGACCATAGGGGCCCGTGTGCCCAGAGTCAGGTGGGACCGGCTGGTTTTAAATAGACCCTGTTTAAAATATCCATCAAGATCTGCTCCAAATGGGCCCCAAACCAGCATCCTGGTTGGCTACGCCCGCATGTTTTACAACAGTATAAGGTGTGTGGGTATTTCGAGAATCTTTGCAACTGAGCATTGTTCAAGGTTTCTACTTGTAACGAGATGCCTTAATGCCCTTGCTGTTTGACGTGAATAATAATAAAAAGACACAAAGGCTAACAAGTCTTTTTTTTTTTTTTCCATGAAATGCCTTCAGATGTTTCCAGAAAATTAAAGTTTTCATAGTCTACCTGGGTCCCAGGAAGACACAATTTTAAAACTCGAGCTCTCTCTTAGTTCCTATTTTTAGAGCACTGATCTAAGAGTTGCAAACAATTTTAGGAAGGGATTGAGCCTCATCTACTTTTAGAGAGGAAAATACAGTATTCTGATCCTTTTCCAAATTCATCTTGGACTTCGCCAACACGAATGTTTCGGCACAACATTTAGACTCTGTGTGATGAGGGGTCAGCTTTCTCTGTGCAAAATCAAATCCCTTGACAATTTCAGAGAAAAAATATTTAACTTCCTATACTCCGAAATAAATACAGGAGAGAAGAAATGAGGTTAAATCATACGGAGTAAAAGCAGAAAGAAGCTTTTAACGTGGCTGTTCTTTTTTTCTAAATGGGTTACGTTCAGCCTTTAATTCCATTACCATCTATCAATAATTGAGACGAATCTCTCTAATGTTGACGAAAAGATCACCAATAATACTTAGTATTGTTATGATTGCGAACACGCCATAACAGGGGACACTTATTGAGGACTCACTATGTTCCAGACACTTGCTAAAAGTGTCACATACATTTATTTATTTAACCCTCAGTTAGTTCACTTCATCTAGGACGAGTGATGGAAGATGCCCACCTCATTGCAATGCAGGTAGCTGTTCTTGGCGTGAACCAGGTCTGGAGAGTCAACCACCGTGGTGAACTTGATACTGTCTGGTTTCTTACGGTATTTAGTCTGTAAGAAAAAGGCACAGGTTCCCATAAAACCGGTGAACAGCATGCATTTTTCAGCATGCAGCTTCACCGCACCACCTGCTCAGTACCAAATGGGCCAATGACACTACTGGAAAACAAATCTCTCTTCTTGGCGGGTAGCTCACAGGGGTATACAAAAGGTCCAAGCGGCCCCTGTGATAAGGAACATTTTACCAGTATTTACTCTCTCTCTCTCTCTCTGTCTTGAGAGAGAGAGAGAGAGAGAGAGAGAGAAAGCTGCACAATAGCCTGGCTCATCACAATAAAGGAATTCAGTAGAGGGGAGAATTCAGCATCAGCAGGGTCCCAGTAAGGTCTATTACTAAGAAATGGAAGAAGGCAGTGCCACCCTCAAGGAGACCCCAGGGCAAGAATCTCCAGGCCACCAGTACGGTGGGGAGTTAGGTTAAGGTAACCATTCCCCGTGCAATGCGTAACATCTTCTGAAATCAGATAAGCCCCAGACACTGGGCACTCTGAGTAAACTCAGGAGGTGGATGGCAAGTTCTGTGCCCCCATGAAAACAACGGGCCAGCTTAGCTCATGACTACCGAATGTGCCTACTGAGAATCTTCTAGCACATCATCTGTCACTGCCCAGTTGGGAACATGCTTTAACTCCCCAGCAAGTGAGTTCATGTGGAGGGAGATCTTGTTCAGTCTTGCCACTGGGTTGCAAAAGGCCAAGAAAAACACTGGGCGTCCAGTGGCCACGGGGCCCTCTTGGGATCTCCACCCTGTGAGCAGGTTCCCTCTGCAGCAGAAAGTGAATGCTATAGGTTGCACGTATGATAGGGTCGGGTTAGTGGTACCTCGCTGATGAGTTCTCCGGCTTTCTTTGCACACTCTAGCTGTGGGGAACTCAGCGTCAACCATCCCGTCCCCTTCATGCCCATCAGGTCTGACTTGTAGCGAAACTGCGGGAAGAAAATCATTGGCTTTTACCAAGAGAGTGTCTGAGACTGTCGGGGCATTCCTAGATCCTTGATTTGTAATAATGCTTCATCATGACGTGTCAACATCTTCATTCGGAGTGTGTCTGCACATCGTTAAGTCCAACCACGTGAGTTCGTGCACTCTGCCAGGAATTAAATAATGGATCGTGCCTAAGATACAAGAAGACCCCACCTGTGAACTGGCAGGGTTAGAAGCCAAGGTAATGGATGCAAATGATCGCTTGAAGGAAGAGTGGAGATCTACACCCAAGCCCAGGCATCTGCCTGGATTATTTTGTTTCCTTCTGGCAGTGAGGTGACTGCCTGCCTGCCTGCCTACATAGAACAGTTTTGCCCACCTCCAGGCGATGAAAGGGCTTTGAGCTCTGGTCAAACCTGCCGTGACTCGGAGCAAATCACTTTACCAATGTGACTCAGTTTCTCTCTGTGACAGCTGGAGGTGGTAACGACCCTTCTGTGCTCATGAGAACACCTGAGGGTCCTCAGGAGCAAAAGCTGCTCTATGTGTTGGATCTGTTTTGTCTCGTGGTGGTTTGGGGGGCCGGGGGGACAGGAGGGCGCGGGGACAATTACAGCAGGATCCTAAGAAGGGCACAAGCTTAGATACAACCGGCCTACAGTATGGTAGCCAATTTAATCTTTTTGTGCCTACGTTTCCCTCCCCCTGCCACCGTTCCCCCGGATTTGCTCATAATGTCAAAACGGGCTGGGCTTTATCACCCTTTTTTTTCATTTTAAGGACTCAGAAGATTAGAACTACAGCAGCATCCCTGGGACAAAATGGTAAGTGGTGCTGTAGGACAGTGAGTCTGATCAGGAGTCTCCTAAAACATTAGGTCTTAGTACCATCCCTCCACCTGCCCACCATTATCTAGGATGAGACAGTCACATGAACGCTTTTCTTCTTCTCTTTATGGAAATTAGGCATTTTGTAAAGGTGGAAAAAGACCCTCTCAGGAAATCTAAAATTTGGATCTAAACGAAGTTGATAGCGTTTCTCTAATTTAGATACAAGCTCTGCTGTAACGCAAAATATCACTCCAGAAACCAGCCTCTCGGCCTTTTTAGTTCCTTTTCATTTCAGGATTCACAGCGTCCCTCACAGCTGGTCTCAAAGAGGGTCCGTTTCTGATCTACTGTCTGCTGGTTAATGCCCCCGTGCAAATTCCACTCTGCTTTCTAACTGGTGAAGGGAGGCATCACTCAGGTTCAGGAGCAGGCTTCAAAACCCCATGTCAGTAAGATTGCTTTTTATACCACGATCTTTCGGTCTACACCGGCAAAGCTTTTGCCTTCCACTCTGATAAAGAACAGAGAAAATTGGATAAATTTCTAAGTTAGAGAGAATAATCCGACAGGACCTCTTCACAGCCGGGTCTCGCTCCTTTCATACGCAAGATGAAGTGGGGAACACTCTTTCAACTTGCCTTTTGTTGAGCTGAACAGTACAATCGCAGGTAAGTCAGAAAGCAAGATGCAGGTTCCCCAAAGATCTGACTGCGCCTCAGACTCTCTTATAAATGGATCGTCTATTGATATTTCAGCTCCCAGCCCAGGTTGGACTATTCACGCAGACCCTAAAAACAACACGCCTGCCCCAGACTTCACGATGAAAGAGGGGGAGAGAGAGGGGAGTTGAGAAGAATCAGCTACCCAAAGATGGTTTTAAAGAAGGATTCTAAGATGATAAGAGAGCCTCGCACGCTGCCCAACTGCATCTGGCTTCCCCAAATGGCAGTCTTGCTGTTTTCCCTTGCCTGGAAGCCACCTTCGGATTCGTACGTGGGGTTTCCCAGCACCCCCATTTTGCAGCACCGGCTGCAACTGGGTCCCCAATTTCCAACGATGTAAACAACTGCACCCAGGAGGCGGCCAGTGGGAAGGTGTATTTGTCGTATTAATGGGACCCTTTATAATCACTCTCTTGCACAGGGTGTGGTTTGCTTTAGACTCATTATTTCATGCATTGTTCATGGCATCCTTCAAAGGAGGGGTTCTTATGCCCATGCGCAGAACAATTTTGGTGTTCGACTGACTGCTCAGATTCTCAGAAGAGCCACCGGCGTCTGTCCACTTGGTGTACCACGCAGGTGGTCATTGAAGGAACCCTTAGGAGTCGGAGCACCTGGGGTCCTAATCCAGCCACGTGGGAGAGCCAAAGAGCACTGAACTAGGAGTCTGGACACAAGAGCCCTGCTCTGCTCCTTGCCGTAGGGTCTGGAGCAAGCCATTCCCCTGCCAGCCTGTGACCCTGGGCAAGTTATTTAAGATTACAGGTGCCTTAGCTGCCACATCTGTAAAAACGAGAGGAATACCAGTATGCACCTAGATACTAAATGAGATAGCTGGTGCAAACCATTTAAACAAATGCCTGGTCCAGAATAAACATTCCAAACATTGTAGCTAATGTTATTGTTGTTTCTGATGGAGAAACTGAGGCTCACGGAGCTTACAGAGTCTACCTGAGGTCATGCAGCCGTAAAGGGTGGGGTCAGGGCTGTCCCCTTGACAGTCCCTGAAGGTGCTCTTCAGGACTCCCTGCAGCCCCCGCACAAGATCATGGCCATTCACTGTAGAGCACTGCCTGGGCACAGCATGTATCTCATACGTGTCCCGAGGCAAGCATGGCTTGAGCAACTGTGGCCTGAGACCTTCGTCCTGGGGGAGAGCACCTCTTGACTCCCTCTGGCCCGACCCACAGCTTTCTTTCTGGCCAGGGTAGGAGAGGGCAGGAGAAGCAGCCGGAGGCTGGGGGCTACTGTTCCTCCCCCAGACTGAGCCGAACTGAGTCAACACACACGGAGCCTTTGTTTCTTTTTCTATACAACATAACTACATGAAATTAGATTTTCAATAATGACCACAAGAAAACTGAAGCCTCAGAACCAGCTCAACATTACGAGGTGTCCTCTGTCCTCTCGCAATCTACCCGCCCCCCACCAAATGAACAAACTTGAAGTTTAAAAAGCAATGCATAAAACATCATACGGTGATTAAAAAAAATTAAGCCATAGCTTCTCAGCATTCCAAATTTTAATACATATCCTATTTCATAAAGTGTGTAAGAATGCCAGCTACTATCTCTTGGAAAGTCCTTTGCTTTTTAGATTGTTTTTCCTACATTTTTAAGCATTAAAATATCCTTTCTTTTCAGAAAAAAAAAACTGTGATATAAATGGTAGCTTGAAATAATGTTTAGGTTTTTTTTCCTCACTTAGTAAAGTAAAAATCTGAGGGCAATCTGGGTGGCTTAGTCGGTTAAGCATCCAACTCTTGATTTCAGCTCAGGTCATGATCTCAGGGTTTGTGAGACAGAGTCCCAGATTGGGCTCTGTGCTGACAGCACGGAGACTGCCTGAAATCCACTCACTCTCTCTCTTTCTCTGCCCCTCCCCCTCTTAAAATAAGTAAATAAACGTGAAATAAAAATCTGACATTATACTGATGCCACCATCTTAAAAACGTCTACCCGTGAACCCTGAGATCTGAGGTCACTGGTCAAACCTCTTTGCTTCTCTGTTGGAGGGACAGAGGCCTAGAATGCAAAGTGAAAGTTCCAGGACACGGAGTCAGTGGGTGACAAAGTGGGGCTTCCCACGAGTGTCTTGGGGCTCCCGGCTCGGCTCCCCTCACCTCTCCCGGATGGTCTCTGTATCTGCCCTGGAGGTTCCTCTTCCCCCCAGGAATAGACCATTGACAAGATGGTCATGCCATGCACCATTCTTGGAGATGGCAGGACAGCCATCTAGCAGGTGGAAGGCCTTCCTAATGGAACTCGGGCTGGCCCCTTAGTAACTACATCCCCTGTGTGGGGCCCGATGACCTCCCCCTGCCCCACACTCGACCTGACTGGGATAACTGCCATTCCAGTGAACTGCGATGAATAATTAGGTGACCAGTGAATCATGACATCACGGAGTCCGAATTAATCACCAATTATGTGTTTATAATATTCTGTCTGTGCCGTATAACTAAACTCAAGAGCGGTCGTTGCCCTAAAGGTAACCAGACTCAAGACCTTGGTGTAGAGAACAATCAAAACAGCTAACACTTCCTGGCATGTTTCTATGCACCAGGCACCATGTGAGGTTTCATACAGGCCAGTCCTAAACTGAGAACTGGGTTCTCAACTGGGGGCAGTTTTGCCCCCCGCGTACATTTGGCGATATTTCAAGACATTCTGACTGTCACACCGGGGGGAGGGCAGTGCCATGGCATCTAGTGGGTAGAGGCCACCGTGCACCAGACGGGCCCCACCATGGAGAATCACCCAGCCCAGAACATCTGAGGTGCTGGAGTTGAGAAAGCCTGGTACGAGAGCTCCTTCCTCCTAGGGCTGAGAGAGACAACACGTACAAGTTCACGTGGTTCAGTGCCTGCCACTGACCACGCCCACATTATCATCATTACCTTGTCCCAACGGGAGACACTGAGGCCTAGAAGGAGGATAGAACTGATGTCAGCACATATGGGAGGGGCTGGTGCCCTGGCCTGGGTGAGGACCTCTCTTTTCTGGGTCTCAGTGTCCACACTTGGGTTGTAGGAAGCCTGACTCCCCTGCAAGGAGCTCCCTCCTCGAGAGCAAGATGGGTAAGATGATGGGTTCTGGGGTCAGTCCTGCCTGGGCATCTCCCAGTGACCTCATCTGTGTAAGAGGAGTCATGACTGTCCCCACCTCGCAGCATGTGGCAAGAGGGACACTCAGGCAGGCAGGCAGATAGCGTCAGCTGTGGCTGGATCACTGTTTGCCAGGCATGAGCTTCCCCCGCACTGCATACCGTCCACCCCCTACTCTCTCTCGGACCCCCGCTCCAGACCACATTCTCCTCACTCGCCCACTTCCTTTGTGCTGGCCTCATATAGGCTGGGGCTCCTCCCGCTCAGGGCCTTGGCCTTTGGATTTGCTATTCTGTCGGCTGGAGTGGTATCTCCTTCCCTCAACTTTGGTCTTTGCTCAAATGTTGCCTTTTCAGTGCCCTGACCCCGCCCTCCGTTTTAATTTGCACACACGCAGGTCCACCCACCTACCCCCCTTCCCTGCTCTGTGTGTCTCCACCACGTGTGTCCACCCGACGTACCACGTGTCCTACTTATCACAGTCCTTCTCCCTCCCAGATCATGGAAGCCCCGGGAAAGCAGCAGTTTTTGACTTTTCTGTTGACCGTGGTAATCCCCAGGGCCTGGAATGGTGTAGTAGGTACTCAAGAAACAGTTATCAAACAACCGAATGATTCCAACCTAGATGGCCCGACACAGACCCAGCAAGTTTTAGCTTTGGCGGGGGGGGGGGGGGGGGGGGGGGGGGGGGGGGGGGGGGGGGGGGGGGGGGGGGGACCAAAAGGCAAAGGAAGAAGCAGAGATTTACATCCAGCCTAGGCGGGGGGAGGAAGGTCAGGGGCTGGCGTGCAGCCTGAAGGTCCCCTACCTCACTCTGCAGGGCGTGAGCTCTCTTGGCCCAGGACATCTTCAGGTCCTCAGGCAGCGCCGTGAACTCATGGCACCATGTCCTGTAGTCGTGATCGCTGGCTAGGGCCTGGGCCTTCCTGGCGTGGACCAGGTGCACCATGTCCATGGGCAGGTGACACTGGGCTCGGCTGCCCGCCGCCCCCCGCCTGTACTGAAGCTCGCTCTGCAGCTGGCCCACCCGCCAGCAGTGCCGGAGCCGGGGGTCCTCGCTCACGCTCCGGGTCCCGATCAGCCTACCTCGCTCCTTCACAAAGTCATGTCTGTAGAGAAACTGGAAGGGAAGACTGCAGTCAGGGGCCGGCCTTCGGCCTGCTTAAATCCCACCTGCATGTTTTCACTGCCGACCCTAGAAAACTCACCCACTCTTCCACTAGGAGGTGATGATTATAAGAAAAACCACAGTGAGGGTGGCATGAGAGCATGCTTCCTCCCCGGGGGCTGAACAATTAAAACATCGCTCCATTCTTCCTACCTAATTAAAACCATATCCTCAGGACCAAAGGAAGGGCCCCACTCCCCTTATGTGTGTCCTATGGCCAAAAGGAATTTATCAAAAAAGGTAAAAGAGAAACTCGTGCTTTAACCGTTTGTACTTGGCAAAACATTAAACCCAAAAGACAGGATCCATTTATTTGAAGTCCACGTTTTCTGTGATTTGTTTGTGGGAAAGAGAAAGTCACCTTCATGTCCCAAAGCTATGGACGCTATGAACAGAGTGGCTGAAACACAGCTGGCCAATCCTAACGCCAACGTGTGAAACTACAGAGAGCCAAGAGGGAGATGCGTTACGGTCGTATTACAATTTCTCTTACGGGTTCTCTGTCGAATTCTAGGCGCAGTCAGAAAGCAGGCAGCTCACGCGTTACAGGGGGGACCGCTGGCGAGACCCCGCCGTTAGAAACAAATCCTAATCGCTTTCCTGCTGCAGACCTTTGCCTGAGTTTAGCTTCGGATTAACAGAGCCTTTCTTTCCCTCCCTCCGTCAAAGAGTCTCATTCCTAACTAATATATTCTGCAGGTGACATCCTGTCTCACACGGTGATAGATTTGCTTTAATTCAGGAAAATCAGCCGTAGACATTGTTTTACAAGAAGTTAACAGAAATTAGGCAAAATGGAAGGTCATATCATTCAACTCACATCACTGGCTATATCTCCAGAGACGCGAGCAGCCTGGAAGGGAAGAGCGTCTATCGTCAGCTTGTAGCCTTGAGCACGGAGATTACGCCAAGACTCCTTGTATTTGGCCTACAGTAGGAACACATGTAGATCTTCTTTAAAAAAAAAAAAAAAGAAAATTACACGAACCAACGAACAAAGGCTACCCCTTTCATTTGTAGTAGGGCGTTCGAGAATCGATTTCTGACCAGCAAAAGCGCTCTCTTTTGCAAAGACAATCTCATTAGCACACACACTGGCATGCTCTCTGACGCATATGTACGCGCCACACTTGAGGAAAAATGCATTTACCGTGAGCATCTAAAAGACATTTTTTAAGTTTCTGGGAACACCAGAAGGGCCACCGTTAGAGCCCATCACGGCCACAGACAGACGTGGCTTTGGAGCACGTCTGCACCTCAGCTTACGTCAAGAAAGGCTTACGTCACTCAGATTGGCCGCGTTTGCTTTGGCTCGGGCGAACTCAGGCAGACCCAGGGTCATCGTGTACCGGTGCCTCTCCTCGTCCCCGGCTGCTTTATAGAGGCGCTGGGTAGAAAAAGAACGAAGAACAAGCAAGGAGATAACGCTCAGTGCTTCTGCAACGCTGCAGGTCCCTCGCTGGCAAGCGGGAAATAGGTTTGCAGAAATAGGTTCGCGGAAGGCCACTCGCTGTGTCACAGATACACCTTCAGCCCCGGGGAAGATCTTTCTTTCAATAAAGTCAGTTCTTTCATGAGTCAAATTGAGTGACATAAAAGGAGTATGTAAAGACATTGCAAGTTGCTTCTGACGGGGTTCGGGACAGGTCACCCCAAAATACGGCACCTTGGCGTACTGAATGCTTTAAGCTGAAGGAATCTGGGAAACAGCAGGTGCCAGAAGAGCTCTTTCTTCTCCCCTCTCCTGAAGCAGGTCAGAAGACCTTCCTGTGAGAGATGCCCTCCCCACACCCAGAGGCGATAAGCGTCCTTATCTCCGAAGACGGAGGGCTGCAGAGAGGAATCTGAGCGAACAGACCGAGCTAAGTGTGCCCCCGTTCTTAGCTCATCGCGTTTTGCCGTGACTCTCTACTCTTCATCGAACCTCGCACTGAAACGCTCAGGTCTAACCCGTTTCTTCTGTCTTCGTTTCCTTATGAAGGCTCCCCGTACCACGTAAAACTTGAGTTAAATAAACTAGTATGCTTTTCTTTTGTTAATCTGCCTTTTGTTACAGAAGCCGCACTGAGACCCTATGTTGGGTAAGAGAAAAGGTAATTTTTCCTCCTTACGCTTTGCCCAATAATAGGCTGAGGAAAGAAAACCACATTTAGGAACACTATCAAAGCTCTTCTCATTGTAAACTTTTCCCTTGAGGATATAGTGTACAGACGATAAATACCAAGATCCGGGGGGATTTGGGAGAAGCCCCGGTTGGCGGAAGGGGGGTTCCCAAACTCTGTTCTGCATCCTTTCCTAAAGCCCAAGCTCCTTCCGTGAGCAAACTCCCACCAAGGCCACCCTGCATGGCCTCCGCCAGTTATGAAAACACCTATTCTTGTGATCAGAAATGGCTCTGTGACTGGTGAGTTCTCTGAGGCCAGAGGTCATCACGAGAGGCAGTGTTACCCCACAGCATCCAGCTCACGCAGCAGGCAGGAAAGCCTGGACAGGAATTTAAAATTGAGAACGGTTGCTATCCAAGCTCTTGGGGACATTCTTATCCTACGCTGCTGTCTCTTACTTTTTGACTTGGGGGAGAGTGGACCCTAATTGTATAAATAGCCAAATCTCGACTGGCTTCTAAAAGAGTCAGGAAGAAAATCTGAAAAACTCAGGACAATGCCAAATTTAATTCTCTGCCGAGCTCGATTTCTGTTTCAAACTTGCAAGAGAGCCACCGAGAAGTAGAACCAAAGGGGCTGGACCACTGATTTTATGTAATAAGATCCCTTCCCCTGTGTGCCGCTCTGGTAGAGATATTTAAATAAAGTGAGCAAACAGCACGTAAGGGAGGAGGCAGAAATTCCAGAGGTCCGACCAACAGCATTCTACGTAACCGGCCTTGCATCAGCACCCCCGAATAACCACACATCCTTCCGAGAATAATCATCAGAATGACCACGGACGTGCGGTTAGCCATTATGTTCCTAGACAGAACAGATGAACGACGGACCAGTACTCTCAAACTTTAATGTGCCAAGGAAACACGTGAGGACCCCGTTAAAGGACCATGTGCATTCAGTGGGCCAGGGGTGGGGCCCGAGGTTCGGCACTTCTAACAAGCCCCCCAGGATATCCTGCTGGTCCGTGACGGCCCTTGAGGGGCAAGACTAGAGTCTGAACCAGATTTCCAACTAGGCCTTCCTTCCCTCTGCAAAATGTTTACATTCCATATGTGACGTTCTTTTCTCTCCAAACCCCCATGCAAACACGCATGCTTTTTCCCGGCCCCGACCCCACAAATACAGGTTATTTTTAACAAGGTAGCAGTTTTTAAAAAGGCCATTCCAAAGCCATCCGATTTTACCTCATTGGTAATCTGGTTGCTGAGTTTTGCATGAAGGAGGCTGGGGGTGTCTGTCACAGCTGTGTACTTGAATGACTGGGGATGCTGACGGTATTTACTCTGAGGGAAGAAGACGACTTGTTAGGCATCAAACCAGAAGGAGACGAAGCTCTCTAAGCACTGGTTATAAAATCTCACTTTGCAAAGGCTGCTAGTCTGTTCCCCGGAATCCAGTCCGACACCTGCTCTCGTGACCTCAGAGCTCAGAGGGAGGAAGACGCAGAGGAGGACAGGATGGACTGAATCAGATGCTTACCCACAGGAAGAGGAGAGGACATCTAACCCTTTGCCATGAATGGGAACGTGACTATTGAAATTTGCAGTTTGCTCCCGACCTTTGTTCACTGGAGACCCAGAGCCCCTCGGCTCTGGGAATGTCCCAGAAAGAACTGTGCAGCTTAAAAAAAAAAGAAAGAAAAATACCGATTGCCTGCACCCTGCCCTGGGAGACCAGGATTCATTAAACTGTCAGTGGGCCCAGGCATCTGTATTTTTTTTTTTCAAGCTCCAAAGACAATTCTGATGCCCCACCAGGTTCAGAAACCACTCTCTTTTGAGATTTCACTGGAAAAGTAAAGCGCAAAGTTCAATCTGAACTCCCACGGTGAGGCCAGCTCCGTTTTCTCAGAGCTCCTAATCAATGTGTGAGCCCACCTGATACTTCCAGTGCCCTCCGTTATGCCCTCCTGTCCTTGCATCTACAGTGAGTGGACGTCTCAGAGCCCTTGCAGGTGTAAGTAAGATTCCTCAGAAGCTCAAAGGGCTTAGAATTCTAGACTTCTGTATTTTTACCATGAAATTATCACCAAGCTTCTAACAACCATTTCCCAGCCACCAGAGAAGCATAGTTGCTTGGACTATTAGCGCTAATCCTCATAAAAACTAAACGAGAGGGGTAGGAGTACCCCCATTTAACCGATTACAAAGGTGAGACTCAGAGAGGGCAGGTGACAGGCTGGAGGTCACACAGCAAATGAGCACTGGCCTAGGATTCCAGTCTCCATCTGTTGGTCTCCAAAGCCGGCCTTTTTGTCATTGTACCACAGGGCCACTCTTCAGAGGGACCCTAGGGAAGCAGATCTTACGAGTCAGTGAATAATTCTTATGTGTTCATAAGGGACTGGCTTGATATGTGCAAAGCTGTCTTAAATGACATCCAGTCTAAATGGAGGATCTCGTAACAGAACAGAGGCCCCAGAAGAGGTTATGCGGTGAACGGCCACGGTTAACAGTTAACATCTAACCGGCTTCACCAGGAAGAAGTAAGTTGAATGCTTATTTCTCCCGTGGAAATAAGACGGATACCCCTCAGCCCTCCAGGGTCCCCGGTCACCTCACTGATGAGTTCAGATGCCTTCTTTCTCCCTTCGATCTCTAACGTGCCGGGAATGACACAGGGAACGCCTCGCATGAAGTTCAGGTCTGACCGGTACAAATTCTAGAAGAGACAACACAAGGAGTCAGAAAAGCCAAACTCACAGAACAAGGAAGCAAGGAGAAGCCGGAGGACCCACGAGAGGATAACGTCGTAATTAGAACTCACGGCCAAGCCAGTGTCTCCAGACAGAGCATCCTCAGCAAACACACGGTGCCTCCCAGTAAGTGTTTGTGGGGGAAACAAAAATGTAGGTCAAAAGAAAAACGATTCTGCTGTCACCTGTCTCCGTAGCTTTGGAGGGAGGTGAGGCAGGTTTTTATCTTCATGGGGGCTATCAAGACATAAACGCTGGAGTGGATTGTGGTTGGAAAGTCAGTTGTCTTGGGGCAAATGTGGAAATGACGGTTTAATAGGCCTTCTAAAACAAAACCCAGCAGCAGAGGGTGGCATTAATTAATCATGGGTTAAGAAAGAACTAATAAATGAATCCAGAATCATCTGGCACAGGCCTGTCTGTGTGGGTAGGGGCTAGTGTGTGTACCTGAGTGATCCGGGCTGACAGTTTAAAGGGTCCCCAAATTCGCTCCCCTGCAGCCACCCAGGTGCCCCCCCTCCCCCGCCCCCGGCCGTTGCTGCCTTCCAAGTGCTGTCACAGCGAGAGGCAGGGCAGGCGAGGGCTCCGCTCAAGTGACACACAGGCCCTGAGCTGAGCGTGGCAGCTCCACGGTCCTCCAGCTGCTCTGGGGTTCCTGACGGTTTCTGGCAGCCGGTAAGCACCGTACACGGGCGGAAAACCCGAACAGATGACAGATACCCAGATCTGAGTGTCCCTTTGCTTCCAGGCACTGTCGAACCAGGATGCAGGTTTTGTGCGGTGCTTTGCTTTCCAACCCCAGCCCGTTACTTGCAAAGCCCATAGCACGGAAACCTAGAAAGGTAGGCAACAGGGGGAATGCCAAACAGGACGCTGCCGCCGGTGGAGGGGAGACATCCGGGATCTCTTTGGGAGTGAGGAAATCCTCGGTGCTCCCCAATACTCCCAGGCCACCTGCTTCCGGAAACAGGTGGCTCGAGCTTGACACGCACGTGGGAGGCCCGTGAAGGTCTCCACCACTCGTCGCAGGGACCCAGGAAGGACTGCTGGGGCCCGGATGCCCTGCCCTCCCCCACACACTCGCCTCTGCCTGAAGTGGGTCCGCTCTGACCTCAGCCTCTCCTAACAGAGCATGGCCTCCCTCAGAAAACGGGCAGCCTGGGAATTTATGAAGCACGAAGAAGAGCCCCCCGCCCCGGTCAGACCTGAGGCCAAAGGCAGTGCCGGTAACAAATCTTCAACATGCAAAACATGTGAGCGGAGGGCATCCTGGTCAGACGCCATCTAAGTTCACGTGTCAGCCCCCCTTTCTCACTGACAGTTGTGGGGTCTCGGGCAAGCTCTCTCTTTAACTTCTTCGAGCCTCCCTGTCATTTCTAAAATGGGATAAAGACTACTGATACGGGGTTATTTTGCGGTTCAAATGAGATCATGTGTGAAAACGTCATGTTTGGAACCAGTGGATGTTTCCCATTGCCGTTAGATCTGTGTAACTGTGCTGGGCAGGAGCACGGGGCGGCGTTTCCCAAGAAGACCCCGGTTTGGGATTTCTCACCTCCGGAATCCCCCGCGGCACCAACGGGAGCTTGGAGTCACTGCCTCCTGGTCAAATCTGAGAGGACAGAGCCCTGAGAGAGAGGCCAGGTCCCCTTACCTCGCTCTGCAACTTGTGAGCTCTCTTGGCACAGCTGAGCCTCAGGTCTTCGGCCAAGGAAGTGTACTGGGGGAGCGGGTGTCTGTAGTCCTGGTCGCTGGCCAGGCTCTGAGCCTTCCTGGCATGCACCAGGGTCACCATGTCCAATGGCAGATGGAAGTGTGCCTTGGAGAGTTCAAAGCCTTTCTTGTAATTCACCTAGAGGGGCAGACAGATCAACAGCCGCTATTTCAAAGCCACCATTTGCACAGGGACCATCAGGGACAGCAAGTGCAGTGAGAGTCTCCCAGGTGAGCCCCGGAGATGTTCTGGCGGGACCGCTGCTCCTTTCTTGTAGGGACTGGCTTAATTAGCAGGATTCATGACACTCACCACCCTCAGCTCCTGGAGGTCACTGACTTAGATGATGAAGGCCCACGGCTCCCCCAGTTGGGGCAATACAGAAGTGCAGGAGACCTACATCACATCACGTCAGTGATTCCCTTGCTGAGTCTTCAGATCTTCCCATTTGCCAGAGGCAAGAAGGTACGTGGCTAACCTGTGAGGGCACGGGGCCCGCCAGAGTTTCTCCCCCTCCCCCTGTCAGGTTCAGACTTTAGACACCGGGGACTCCCTTCTCGGGCTTAGCCGATGAAGAGCTTCTTCAAAGCATCAGACGACATCCTAAGAAGTCTGGGGTCAGGGGCGCCTGGGTGCTGAGCGGGTTGAGCATCTTACTCCTGATTTCGGCTCGGGTCATAACCTCACTGATCGTGCGTTCGAGCCCCGTGCTGGGCTCTCCGCTGACTGTGCAGAGCCTGCTTGGAACTCACTCTCTCTCTCTCTCTCTCCCTTTCTCTCTGCTCCTCCTCTTCTCGCTCTCTCAAAATAAATAAATAAACTTGAAAAATGTAATTAAAAAAAAAAAGAAATCTGGGGGCCAACAGCAGTGGGTAGACGCTTGGAAAGCCAGTTCTGAGGGATGGATATTCCCAAGAGGCACGCTGAGGGAGGAGAGGACAGACCACAAGCTCCACGGCAGTCCTCAGAGAAGCTGCCGGAAGGTCTGCGAAGCTCACTCTGGGCTTTCTCAGGAGTCAGATGCGTAACTTCCACCTCCGCCATCTTTCCCGGAGCCCCGGCCACCCCTCCCTTACCTCTTGCTCCCATCTAGCACCCTCCCCTGACCCCTAGCATAAAGGACAGGACAATTCATGTGCAACCCCACATTCTTCGGTCAGCACTCCAGCCCAGAAAGGGGTGGGGGTTGGGGGGGGGGAAGAATGTTAGAAATGGGGAAACTGAGGCGGAGAACACGTGAAGCTGTGGACAGAGCCTGAGATGGAGGGATGGCACTATATTCACTTTCTAGCTGATCTTAGACAAGGGACTGAGGCGCTCAGAGTCTAGGTCTTATCAGTAAACCGGGATGGATAAGACGATAATGTTCCTCAAGAGAGTTCGTCCAATGGTTAAGGGAGACCCGGGGTGTAAAGGTGCTTCGTCCTTCGTAACACAGTGGATATACGTCAGCGTCTAGCCCCACCGTTTGCCAGCGTGCATATGTGCAAGGGGACACTGCGTACACACTCGTGCCAGCATCCAGAGGGTCGAAACCACGGGCTGCAAACTCAGACGTTTCCAGGCACCCAGACGATAGCACCAGTGAGTAAGGTGGGCAGTGAGGGAAAAGGAGGCGGCCGCCTGACCAGGACAGCATAGGTCCCTTCTAAATGGAGCTCTCGGTAGTCAACGTCAACTGTGGCCTTGAGGAATCCAGGGCCAGCTTCTGGCTGGAAGTCTACGACCTTTATGCAAAATGTTCCACTTTTAAAGGATTGCAACTAATTCACTCTGCAGACCAAACAAAGCAGCTCTGTCGTCCAAACCTAGCCCACAGGCCCCCCTTCGTGGCCACTGATCACATCACAGAATGGCCCAAGGGAGCTCAGGGGTCGTCTGGCTCAAACTGTCACTTGACGCAGGAAGAAGCTCAAGCCCAGAGGAGCCAAGGGACCCAACAAAGGCGCACAGCTAGTTAGGACAGAGCCAACGGCCACAACCGGAAGGACAAACGACACATGTTGGCCGTGCACCATTAGGTGGGGGCCCCCCAGTCCCGCTGCATTTTTTCGCCTACTTACTTCGCTCTGCAGCGAGTTCGCATACACTGAATGTGCAAGGCTGATATCGTCTTCCAAGCTCCGGGAGCCAAGCATCTGCCCTTTCATTTTCTCAAATGCCTCTTTGTATTTGTACTAAAGGGAAAGAGAGCGGGAGAGAGTAACAGCTCGGGGACAAGGGACACGGAATGGGAGAGGTGGGTATTGGGCGAAAATGTTTTGTTCTTTTGACAGTGACTGGGTGAGTTAAAAGAAAACGCGTGGGAGTCGTCAAAAGGCCTATTCTTTCATATGCAAGACTCCCAATGACTAAAGGGCTGGATATGAACTGGCAGGACATGTTAGCACTTGGGCGGCCCGCGCTGGAAGAAGGTGGGTGCATTGTTAACAGTCTCTGCACGCGGACTTGCTTTAGGAAAGCGCCTGGCGGAGGGTGCATTTCATCTGCCCGGGGTCCAGAGTTACAGTCCGGCATTTGGCTCTGTACCCCGGCTAGGGGATTTTTTTTCTTGTTGTATGGTATGTTCTCTCTCACTGGTCGTTACCAGATTGCCCTAACACAGTCAGTTGGGAAAGCAGAGGACAGTGTCCACAGGCAAAAGAAGGCAGGGGTTGGGGGCAGAAGGATTAAACATTGACACGGTAATGGAGGTGGATGCTCACGTCACTTATGATTTCGCCGGAAGCCTTCGCTGCCTGAAATGGAATGGCATCCAGTCTCAATTTATATCCGCCGTCTCGAAGTTTGCTCCAGGATTCCTTGTAACGTGTCTGTTGGGAGCATGCGGACAAATAAAGACCTTCGTGTGATCTGGTGGCTCTGAGATGCTCATTACCAAGATGGGCATCGGCTTTGTTATGGGTTTTCTCCCCCAGCGCCCGGTTGGAGTTAGAAATCACCGCGCCTTAGCAAAAACCAAGAAAGAGTTGGAGCCTGCCTCACGCCCACCCACGGGAGGGAGAGTCTTTTGGGGGCGACTCTTTAGAGTCAGACAGACCCAGATTTCTCTGAGCAGCAAGCCGAGTGGAAGGAGGAGGCATAAGGCTGAGCGTGCACAGCTCTTGACGTAAGATAAGGAGAACACAACTGTCTCTGTGGAAGAACAGGAAAGGGGGCGGGGGTTGCTGATCAAGGTCACGGGAGGGAAGGGTCTCTCCTCGCCATAGCCGTTGGCTGCCCTCACCTATATTCTGACCCTCCGGCATTTCACTCCCTCAGTACCAACGCCTTTTGTAGTAAGGCGGTTTTCCTAGTCTCATTCTTGCAAATGAGCTTGACTCCTCTGTAGGATGGCCTACCTAGCCCGCAGAGCTCAGCAGCGCAAATGAAAGCATGGGGCCCCTTGGTCACAAATATTACAAATTTCAAGATGGTGACGGCAGAGCATTCAAGTAAGCTCCAGGCCCTTCTGAGTACGGGATGCTTCTGAGCACAGGCTGCCGGGCACTGCCCAGGTCCCCGGATCCCCCGGAATGAAAGCCAGTGCCCCATCCGCCAGCCTCACCTCACTGATATTCATGGCATTCAGCTTGGCCAGGAGGACTTCAGGGAGGTCGGCTGTCTGAGTGTAATGGTGCTTTATGTTTTCTCCTTGTTCCTTATATAACCTCTGTGGAGGAAGAGAGGTTTTGCATTAAACCCAGGAGGTTCTTCCACACAGCCATCAGCCAAGTTACACTCCGGGAGACAAGGGACAGCTGCCACCTCCCCATAGAGACAGGATCTTGGGTGCCCTGCCTCCACCTGGATCCCACAGCCAGCACGGTGACACGGGCTTCGTGCCCTCCTGAGTCCTACGTCCCAGCTCAGAACACGACAGGCTGAAACCTGCCTCTGCGTTAACACTCTACTTGTAGCATAAACCTGACACGGTGTCAGATGGGAAAATGAGGTCTAGTTAGCACGTAATAATTTTGTTATTAACCATAAAGCGTGGGAGGGCATTAAAATTCAGAAGCATGAAAGAGGGCTCTTCCACAGGGGACGTCTGGACCTACTTCAATCCCCACTCCCTTCCTCCGTCTCGAGGATTCTTGTGCTATTAAATGTCTACCGGGTGGGTCTGGGGTGTCTTTCATGCGGAACTCTGATTTGGGCTTATGACATCCTCATAGTGATGACACACGAAGTTGGCATCGGCCACCAGAGAAAGTTTCTAAGCCGGGCTTTTCCATCCCAAATCTTAGTAGCTGTGTCCAAAGTTTCTACGTATCACAGCACTGCCCCCTAGAGTTGGTCAGGGTAAGGAAGAAGCCCGGGTTGTTTTTCTTCATACAAAAGTTCTTCTTGTTTGACCATCCGTGTTTCTCAGAATTTAATTTGTTTCTGATGGGCTGCTTGTCAAGAAATTATAAATTCCTAAACCCGTAAGTTTGTAAATCATCCCAAAACTTATTCTGATAGGCACTCGACATTTCTAAATGCCTGTTAAATAAGGCACAATCAGAATAAAATATTCAATTGGGAAGCATGAGAGATAATTTTGAAACTCCTCTTCACCAAGGGTTGCACATTTTCCTCACGGCAAGTCGAACGGTTTGAAGATATTTACAAGGCGTGTCTGCCCCACTTTACAAAGATCTGCGGGCCTCTCTCAGCAGAATCAGCCAAACGGGGTTAACCCATGTCCTAAAGTGAGTTTTTATGGGACCTCATCATTCGATTTGGTCTCCAACGAGCGCCATGCCGTGAGGACAAAAGGCCAGGTCTCAGTTTCACGTTAAAAAGGGAAGACGGGAAGTGAGTTCACCGTTAGTCTCGTGCCCGCAAGACCCAAATCATTTCCAAAGTCTTTGGGGGAATTCAGAGAGCAAGAATTCCTGCCCTCGGGTCCCAGGGAGCCCTAGCGGGGGCTGAGTCTTCCAGTTGCCAAGAATTTTCACTCCCAAAGTTCCAGTTCTGGAAACAACACCTTAAAACAAAAAGGAGAGGGGAAAAGCCCCCTCCCCCCAACACAAATCTTGAAGATATGCAAATGGGAAGACAGGAGAGCATGAGGGCAGTGGGGTGGCAGAGCCCCACTTGGCATCAGAAGAGCGGTAACACCCCATTTGCATCCTAATGAGGAAGCACCCCCGCTAAGGTGCTCCTTGGCAAAGGACAAGGAGTTCCTTCATCCTTAGAACAACAGAAAGAGCAAGGCAAGGAACCCTCAGCTTCAATCGCAGTGTTGAAAGAAGAGCCCACTCTTAGAGTTCATAATGTATATATATATTATCACTTACATCCACGGCTTGGGTATAACTAATTCTGGCCTGGACCATCTCCGGAGTGTCTTTAATACTGGTAAACTTCAAAGCATCTGGAGGCTGACGGTACTTCTTCTGTTGAGCAGAAAAAGATCAAAGCTGTGAATTTTGTGTCGCTCTTTCATGCCATTTGAAAGGGAAAATCATAGGTTGCTTGAGATTAGAGTGAATTTGTGAACATAATTATTATTCGGCTTCCTCCATCTTTATATCCTAGGTGCCTTCAGGTTAATATTTGTTTCAATTTAAGAATAACCTCATGTCAATTAACATTAAAGTATTTCTAGCTGGTGCAAAGAAAACATCGCGAAATGGGGTTATACTGCTAAAATACCGGGGGATGTACGCCTAGGAAAGGGTTCTTTTTGTGGGTTTCAAATGCTGCGTTGTTTACATCTCTTAGTTTGGGTCTCCCAAGCAAGAAGGTGGTTACATTCATCAATTGAAGCTTCCCGCTTTCCTTCCACGAAAGGACTTGGCAGAGATTATCACAGTCAAAACCCTCGCATTTAACAGTCAGGGATCACAACTATTCAATCACTTTAGAACCTGGTTCAGTTAACATGACCAAGGAGTCTTTAGAATGTTACAATAACAAGAAGAAGGGTGCTATGGTTGAAAGGAAGGAGCTTACGTTTTGAAAGACACTGGAAACAAACAAACAAACACAGAATCACAAAGAATTCCAATGCTGGCAAAGACCTAGACACCCAATTCTGATTCTAAAAGTCATGCTTAAATTAATTCCGGGTTTGTTTGTTTGTTTGTTTTGCAATCCAAATACATTTCCAGGAGACTAGGACAGTCGCACTCTTAATGGACTTATGAAGTGTATCGTTCCTCAAATCAAAGACCTATTTTATGAACACTTCCTCATTTATCAGGGTCAGTTTTTGTAGCCTGGGTTGATTAAGGAAGACAGGGTTCGGTATCCAGCCATCTCTGTTGGGTCACCTGCTTTTGTAAATAAAGTTTTATCAGAACACAGCCATGCTCGTTCACGTACACGGTTGTCTATGGTTGCGTTCACACAGAGGTGGCAGGGCTGAGGAGCCCCAACGGGAACTGTGTGGCCCACAAAGCTGAAGACACTCCCTATCTGGTCCCTTACAAGAAAAGGTGTGCCGACTCCTGCTTTAAGAGACAGGCGTGTATGCATCTGTGGTTTTCTCAGCAGTGTGTGGCATTCGGGCTGAAAATTAGGAGGTCAGCCAATTTGACACTGAACTGGAAGTGTGGGAAACAGAAGTGAGGTGATTAGGGAGAACGGCCGAAAGATTTTCTTGCCTTACTGAAGTTTGAGGACTGGCATGCAGCATAGAAGATAAGCCAATTTGTTGAGTAAGTCTGCAAAATGAGGTGGAAAATTAAGCCCACTGTGGGATAAACAGTTCCAGAAAGCTCCCTTGGATGCCAGACTTAGATGCATGAAAGAATCATCTTGAAGTCTAAATTGTGTGTATGATTTATTTTTCACATCCTTTTATGAGTGGGCCCAATGAGAGCTTAGGAGCATGAGTCCTCCAACCTAGATGTTTGCTGCGGCAAGTTTCTCAAAATCATCCTTTGAGGAAGGTCTTTCCTCAGTCAGAATGAACTATTTAGGGCCGTGAAGTGTCCACTGAGCCTTGAACGTTGACTAAGATTTCCTAAGAATTAGGCCAATCAGAGCGAACCCACTTCTGGAACCAGCTCTGTGACATGTCAGGCTAACCAGAATATTCTCCCATGGGAAAGACATCAACGCTGGGCAGGTGTGTTTGGAAAACCAACTTAGGTGTCTTTCTGTTCTACCTACACATTCAGTAAGAAAGTGTTCTCAAAACAAAGTCTCAGGAGGCTCATTACAAAGGCTACCATCCTGTGGCTGCAGCCGTGGTGATCCCCTCCCCACCCAGGAAAATCCAGAATGACCAGGTTACTCTGGAGGCAACTAGAAAAATTCTCACTTGCCTTCTGAGCAAGTTCCTCCCCAAACAGACATGAACAGAGGTGGGATTTGGGTTGTTCGAGGATGGGCAGCCTCCGTGTGAGCACGAGGCAATGACAACTCCCTGGTGTGTCTAATCCAGTGGCTCTCCACCTTCCGGCAGCATCTGGAGACACTGTGGGTCGTCATACCGGGCAGAGGGTGCTACTGGCATCTAGTGGGTGGAGGCCAGGGGTGCAGCCAGACCCCCCACGTGACCCAGGACAACCCCCACAACAGAGAGCTTTCGGAATGCCAACAGTTCTGAGATGGAGAAACCCTGATCAAATCTTTAAAAGACCTGTTTAATGAAACTCTCCCCAAAATGTGAGCAGACGGATCTTTCTAGCACGCTGTAACGCCTTAGGGTCCAGCTGGGGTGGCTGCAGGTGGACCGGCGTGAGATTTAAGTAGAAGTGAGACCCCTCAACAGGAGAGACCCGGGTCACGTGCTCCACACCACGTGAATATTCAAAAACTGTTTACACTGTGGCGGGAAGAGAGAGAGAGAGAGAGAGAGAGAGAGAGAGAGAGA